GGAGTCTGCGGTCCTCCGACACGGGCAGGGGCGGATCTAGACAAATATTCATGGGGTGGCAAGAGGGTGGCAGGAGATTTTGAGGGGTGGCATCCCCTGGCAGAAGTATATGCTGATTTAATCGTAGTCATATCAATCAATGTTAACTTGGAAAGCCACAATATTGATATTTTAACTCAATAACATTAGGTGACATTATTGTGGCACATCAGCAAAGCCTTAAATATAAATATATAAGGTGGCAGACATAATTTAATGAATTTTAACTGAATGAGTTTGTTTCACTCTTAGACCAGCAGGGGTACCAAATATATCCAGACTGCTGCAATAAGTACATGAATTAACTGTCTCATCGATGTTTGTCTGTATGAATATGATAATATTAACAATCATATTATTCCTATCAGCTGTCAATCACTGTTATGATTCACATATTCATTTTATTATTGAATATATATATATTTTTTTTTGGAGGAGTTAATGATGAATGTTCCTCAAGATGCTTGCTCACCCTCCTTCAAATTTGAAAGACAAGTAATTACTATCATATATCAAAATTCAAAAGATTCAAAAGAACAGTTCAGCGCCCCACGACTTTATTGCAAACAGTTACAACCTTGACTTTACATCAGTTAGGGTTAAAAAACGTGTATTCACCTAAAACATATACATCGCTGCAGTTATTATCCAGTGGAAAGTCCTTATTTACTGGCCTAGTTAAATCAAAGTGGTTACTTTTTTGGCTGGGCAGTGTAGTTTTACACACCGTCTTATTTGACTTTCTCAGGACTTAAAACTGTTTTTTGTGGGCAGACCCCAACAAAGAAAAAAAATATATACACACATAAGTTTTTTATGATCATCCGTGAGCAGAACATCAAGTTGGCATGCCTATAACAGCTGAATGCGGCGATTACCATCTTGTTCAGCAAAACGCCTCAGAAACTGAGTAAGATCCAAAGCTTTAGTGCGTTTTGATTCAATGCTGAGTACAGCCAAACTTGACAGTCTCTTCTCTGTCATTGTAGACCGCAAATACCTCATTCCTTGTTCGAATGCTTCTCGTTTTGCGCCGTCCTGTTCAAATGAAATCGCCGCCAATCATATTTCCACACTCGCGCCAGGGCCGGGGGAGGGGTTACAAGGCTCACGTCTTGTGCTGCATTCACTTGCACTCGGACATTAGAGATTTTCTCTCATAAATGTCCGATGAGCCACAACTTTTCTTTCAAAACAAAGCTGCCAACTGGGGTGGCAGGGCTATTTTTTAGGGTGGCAGTTGCCACCCCGGTAGATCCGCCCCACGGGCCTGCTCTCCATTCCCCGCTCTCGCTTCAGTACCGGCCCATCGGGATTCGTCCCGAACGTCCCGATGGCCAGTCCGCCCCTGGCAGTGGTGATGTGAAGTCATGTGACCCTGATGTAGTTCCTTTCATGACTAAAATATCTTTTTACTTCTGGTGATTGCTTTAACACTTCATATCATAACGTGGTGTTAATATGTGAAGATAATCTTGCTGAATAAAGTATCATAAAGGTGTGTTTTTTTGTATTTTCTGGAACATTCCAAAGTCCCAATGAAAAATCCTTTTGCTTTTTTTGGAGGGAAACCTTGTGATGTTGTCTTCTGGGTAAGCCAACAAAAATACGTCGCCCCTGCACCACCATATTCCCTCTTTTATAAACTGCATTTATTGAGGAATTTTGAATAGTCTAACATCGCAATCTGGTGACTTTAAGTGCACAAATTTAAAGTGGTAATCTCTTTAATTATGTAAAGAAATTCCAAATGTAAAAATAATATTATGCTTTTTAGGCTTCCAGGCATTGTATGGCATTCAAAATATGGCTGTCCTGAAGATTACATTTCTCTCAAACGTTCCTCCTGCTTAGTCAGGGTTGCCAACTCTCACGCATCTGGCGTGTGACACACGCTTTCACTCTCAATCTCACGCTCTCACACTGCCCAAACTATTCTCACGCCAAAAACAAGAATACGAAGACTAGAAACGGTTTTGAAAACTTTTGTCACGTAGTGATCGTCTTCTCAATAGAACATCTTTGATAATGTCTTCTGGCCAATCAGAATCACGATAACGGCGTGGTGTTGTTGCAGGAAGTCCCGACGGAGAATACTTTTGCGGTAGTACATCTCTATACATCGATACAACATTACGTGTTGATAGAAATCAACACGTAATGAAATAAGACCCCACGGTTTGATGATTGATAGGTGTGTGGGCTGTCTTTCATTTTGACACACAGAACAATGGGGGCTATCCACCCTTATCCACAATGTAAAGTAATTCACACAGCCTCTTCCCTCTTCTACCCCATTCACACCAACGGTGTTTCGGGGCCGGTTCGGTGCTGGTGCTTGAAAAGCACCGGGTTTTCCTGTTCACACCGCAGCGGAGCAGCCTCTAAGCTCCGGAATCCGGTTCGTTTCGAGCACCAAAAAGTTGTCCGTGTAGAAGCAAGAACCGCTTACGTCGGAGGGGGGCGAGATTAACCTGAGATAACAGTTAAGGCGAGTACGGCAAATAAAAGTTGTAACCAGCAGTAGTGCTGAGCAAAGTGACTAGAACGCAACCACACACTTGTAAAAAAAAAACACGCTTTATAAAGTTAGGCAACACTAACCAGGCTTCGTGTGATTCTGTTTATTTGTACCTTACTTTGACCATCCGTTCGCTGTTATTGATCATTGTGGAGAGCAGGCAGACGTTTTGTTTGTTATTATAGCAGCTATCGGATGGAATCAATACATGGGCTGCACAGGTTGTCATGTCCGACTATCACAAGTAGAATCATAATGAAAAATACGCTGGTAAAAAGTGCCTGTTTAAACGGCTTAGCAAGTAGTCAGTTTAGCTTCGGTTGCTATGCTAACATCACCCATGTTATACCAGAGAAACTTTCATAACAGCGTTGTGATGCCAAACAGCGTCAATTCAGACTGACACCAAACAGCGTCAATTCAGACTGACAAACATTCACTTAAGGGGAACTGGGGATATGTATCAGCTGCTTGTGTGACAGTCAGACAGTGAATACTTTAGAGCCGTGAGAGCTAACCCGGAGCTAACGGGAGAATACACTCGTGGAAGAGCAGCCGGCCAGCACTGCAGCGGTCGGTAAATGCCGCTGAAACACATTAATAAACAATGAACCACGGCACTCTGGAGAAAAGTATAAGGTTGGAGAAGTCGTTATTTAATTTAATCTGGCTTCGTATGATTAAAAGCAACGCAGTCCCCGGCCCGTTGTTGTTGTGAGGTGAGCTCCGTTGGGGAGAAAATCAGCGACGTAAACTGTGACGTCATGACGCAGCAGCGGCAGCACCAGTCGGTCTGAGCGGTGTGAAAAGAGCCGGAGTTAAACCGAAGTACCGGTTCCGAACCTGAAAAGCTCTAGCACGGAGCTTGAACCGGAGTTGCGTTGGTGTGAAAGGAGCAGCACTGCTGCAGCAGGTTCAGCTTTCAGAACAAAGTAACAAAAAACTAATATGGCATTCATTTTTTTAAATGTGTAGTAATAGATTTATTTATTTTTCTTCTCAAGAGAGTACCAGAATGTGTATTTTATGTTAGTATTTCAAAAAATCTCCTGGGGAAAAATCCCCCAGACCCCCCTGCAGGGGTTGGGTTTTCAGCAGGTCAACTCTTTCACCTGTGGGGAAATTGCAGGATTGGCTCCAGGTCGCCCTTTTTATTTACTACAAGACAAATGTGCCTTTTTATTTCATACAGTTCAATTTGGATTGAGACAGGGAAATAATCTAAACCTCACGCGTGGCGTTTCACTGTCGGGGGGAGCGTGTATGTAATTACATTGCAAATACTGACTTGAGCCCCACCACTGTATGGGTTAGCCCTACCATAGATTACCCAACAAAAATACTCTAGAGCGCATGCGCAGATCTAAGATCCAGTAGAAATGATAAAAAAGTAAAAGTCTGCTGCTTATTGTTCTACTAGGCCAAAATAGAGTCAAAGAGTATATGAGAGTGAGAGTGTGTTAATTAATATATTTGGCAGTTTGGAGTAAGTCTGTAGATTTGTTTGTGTGTGTGTGTTTCATGTATAGGCCTCTCACGATAATTAATTTTGTTGGATACATTTTCCCGGAAATTATTGCGATGAACGATAATATTGTCGGCACCGTTGTATGACCATTTTAGACCACTGACATAATGATAATATATAATAATAATTAAAGTACATCCTTTCAAACTGCTAGTCACATCCTCATGTAAATGGCAATTTATCGAGGTCAGAAAAGTTATCGAGTTCATTTTTATTTATCGTACGATAAGTCAATTAAATTGCTTATCGCGACAGGCACACAATAAAACAGTGGAAACAAACATGTTTGACTTTCATTAGTGAATGAAACTGTGCCCTTTATAGTCTGTGTCCATTATTGTGTATTTGTATATATTGTATATATATCCTATATATATGCTAAGGTCCCGCTGCTGACACGATAGCAGTCAGTTCGTGCGCATACAGTATGTGTAATTAAACCGAATTAAACCCATGATATCAAAATCTCACTCCAGCCAGGTACCCAAAGTTGGCAACCCTGGCTTAGTCATGAGCTCGGTCATCCTCTTTTGTACATGCGGCACTCTTTCACCTAAGTGGTACATATTTTATAAACCCCTGGACTTGTCTTTAACAGCTCATATGTGTGTCAGGAAGATTTCTGCTCAAGTTAGGGTTAGGTTGAGAACAAATTAGGGTAAGGTTAGGGTTAGGGTTTAGGGAAAAAGTTATTAATTGGAGGTGGATATCCAAAATACCGAAACACTTCTGATCAAGAACAAATGTCACCATTGTGTGTCCACATAAAGATGAACTGAAGGCTCTCCTGTGGTGCTGTTTGTCAAACTAAATGTCATCTTTTTTAAATCATATGGAATTGTACTGGAACACGCAGGCTGCCATACCTGAACTCACCAGAGGGGGCGCTGGTCCAGGTCTAACGGCTGTGTGTGTGCTCTGGAGCCGCGGAGGGGAGGGGGCTCCGGGGCTTTGTTGTGATAGTAAAGGCTCCACCGGTCAGCGCTTTCTCCGGGGCACGGTGCTGCACGGTGCGGGGACTGTTCCTCAAGAGACATACCGGACACATGTAAGGTACCTCGGCCACATTTATTCAGTTGTGTTTGTCTCTCAGGTTTGAACAGCTTCAGTTTACGGCATCCTGTTGCACAGATAAGAGAAAAGAGTCGAACCCCAGCAGGGCGAAGCGACCGGAACGGTACCGTACAGCTCTTAAACATCACACAATGGACGGGAATGTGTTGCGTAAGGGTTGTGTTAGTGTTGTGTTAGTGTTAGCAGCAGCAGGATGTGAGCCTCACTGTGGAGCCAACTCACACCACGTGTTTTGATAACTCTCTGATACATTTTAGCTCATTTCTGCTACATGTGCAGTCTGAGCACGGGAATGAGCTACATCTAAAGCTAAGATGTGGAACACACACACACACACACACACATACATACATACATACATACACACACACACACACACACACACACACACACACAGTGACATGCTGCCTATGAGCATGCATGTGTTGTTGATGTGTGGCACATGATGCTCACATGTTGTTTATCAGATCAGCAGCTGCACACTATTTAACAATGGCTCATCCATTTTTCTCTTTTATACCTATATAAGGCATATTTATACTTTTTCTTTTTCAAAATACCAAACAGATCATGCATTTTAGCCATGCCTCATTTTGCTCAATTTGAATTTTTTTAGATCTGTTTTTAGCAAGGGTTGATTCTGTGAGAACAGCACCATCTAGAGGCCTGGCATATGTACTACACCGTCTCCAGCGCTTTCGAACGGCAATGCCGTGGTTGTCTCCTCCTGATTGGTGGAGTTGGCCCAATAGCCGTAGCGCCACTGTCCTGACGTCAGGATAGTGTTCAAATCTGGATCAGTTTTTATCAGATCCGTTGCAGCCCCTTTTTTAGAGATTTGGGTATGGAGGAAAATAGAGAGGGTTGTGTTTTCTGACACTTGTGCGGCTTTCACACCAGCGCTTTTCCCTTTCTAGCTCCTAGCTAGAGCTTTTCTGGTTCAGCTCCGGCTTCCCTTTTCAGCTCCCGCTCTGTTCACACCGCCCAGAGCTGCCGCTGCTGCGTCATGACGTCACCGTTTACATCGCTGATTTTCTCCCCAACGGAGCTCACAACAACGGGCCGGGGACTGCGTCGGGTCGATGATCGTGTTGCTTTTAATCATACGAAGCCAGATTAAATTAAATAACGACTTCTCCAACCTTATACTTTTCTCCAGAGTGCCGTGGTTCATTGTTTATTAATGTGTTTCAGTGGCATTTACCGACCGCTGCAGTGCTGGCTGCTCTTCCACGGGAGTTTATTCTCCCGTTAGCTCCGGGTTAGCTCACACGGCTCTAAAGTATTCACTGTCTGACTGTCACACAAGCAGCTGATACATATCCCCAGTTCCCCTTAAGTGAATGTGTGTCAGTCTGAATTCACGCTGTTTGGCATCACAACGCTGTTATGAAAGTTTCTCTGGTATAACATGGGTGATGTTAGCATAGCAACCGAAGCTAAACTGACTACTTGCTAAGCCGTTTTCTACAGGCACATTTTACCGGCGTATTTTTCATTATGATTCTACTTGTGATAGTCGGACATGACAACCTATGCAGCCCATGTATTGATTCCATCCGATAGCTGCTATAATAACAAACAAAACGTCTGCCTGCTCTCCACAATGATCAATAACAGCGAACGGATGGTCAAAGTAAGGTACAAATAAACAGAATCACACGAAGCCTGGTTAGTGTTGCCTGACTTTATAAAGTGTGTTTTTTTTTATAAGTGTGTGGTTGCCTTCTAGTCACTTTGCTCAGCGCTACTGCTTGTAGGCAGGCATGACGAGACTCTTCAGTCGACCCATGTTCAGGGGAGGTGGGTTTAGTTTCCTGCACGTCTCGACGTAAGAGAGACGTAAGCGACGCCGCCTCTAGCTCCGAAGCTCTTGCCTCTAGGCCGACAATTTTTTGGAGCTGGAAGTGAACCGCATTCCGTAGCTATGAGGCGGCACCGCTGCGGTGTGAACAGGAAAAAACGGTACTTTTCAGGCTCCAGCTCCGAGCCGGAGCTGAAAAAGCGTCGGTGTGAAAGGGGCATGAGTGAGTTCCCTGGAACACCGGGGACACGTATTCATGTATAAAAAACGTACACAAGTGCATTTTGCATGATAGGTCCCCTTTAAATTGACTTAAAGGTGGGGTAGGTAAGTTTGAGAAACCGGCTCGAGATACACTTTTTGTTATATTCCATGGAATGCTCTTAACATCCCGATAGCAATGAATATCTTAAGTGCTTTGACAATAAATACATTTAAAAAATGCATCTGTGGAAAGCCGTAGCGCTGTAAAAAGCACGACCAATCATCTGAGCCGGCCCGGCTAAAATAACTGGATGGCCTACCTGCCTGTCAGTCTTCTTCTTCTTCTTCTTCTTCTTCTTCTTCTTCTTCTTCTTCTTTGATGGCGAATCGCTTCCACTTGGAGCATATATCGCCACCTACTGTTGATTTATTAAATGTTTATATTAAATCCTTGTACTCAGACCAGTGCTTTTGAGGAATATGAAGATCAGCTTGTTTGCTTCATTTCTTGATTTACTTTCGTATATTGACTTGAAATCCTTGACGTTGAGTTGTTCCAGTGCAGTTTTCATAATGAGTCTTTGTCTGTTATAATCCGGGCAGCTAAAAAATACATGATGTATTGTCTCTGGTTGTTGGCAACCATCACAATTGCCATTTGGATGTTTTCCAATCAGATGCAGTGATGAGTTTAATCCAGAGTGACCCAATTTTATCCTGCTGATAATGTTCTGTTCTCTTCTACTACTCCCCCAAGTGCTTCCCGTTCCTACTTCCCTTTGTATCTGGTATACATGTCTTCCTTTAGTGTTACTGTCCCATAGTTTTTGCCATTGTTGCATTTTGTAACAGATTTAACTTCTGCTCTACTGATGGGTACCATAATATCAATCTGGTTTGCTTTCAAACCACATTTTGCCAGTTGATCCACTACTTCATTCCCTCTAATACCCACATGCGCTGGAACCCACACAAATTGAACAACAATTCCCAGATGAACTAACCTAAACATGATGTGTAAAATTTCATGTAAAATATCCTGACGACATTCTGAAGAGAAGTTGTTTATACTCTCCAGAGCTGCACTGGAGTCAGAGCAAATGACCACTCGCATTGGCTGTATTTCCTCTACCCTGCCTGTCAGCCTTCCATCTGTGCACAAACTTATCTCGTGCCCTCATTGGTCATGTGCGCGTTCGTGTGTGTTGGAGGAGGGGCTCTGTAAGGAAGTGGCAGATCTTTTCCGGCTGTGTATTTTCAAATTCTAGCGCACTCGAGCTGGCTTCTCCAAAATTACCTACCCCACCTTTAAGGTCAGGATAGCTCATGGGCCTTTTTAAACTATTAGAAATATTATACTTGTTACCTAAGTATGCTTGTACTTCTACCCCACATCAATTCAGATGTAAATGGTGTACTTTTACTCCAAAAGTCCTGCATTCAAAATGTTACTCAAGTAAAAGTAGAAAAGTGTTAGCATCAAAATCTACTTCAAGTACCAAAAGTATTCATTGTGCAGACTGGTCCATTTCAGAATAATATATATGATATGTTTTATAATGATTGATCATTAAAGTGTTCTCAAAGCTGGTAAAGGTGCAGCTAGTTTGAATGACTTTGTATACTGCAGGGTAGCTTGTGAATTGACTCCAGGTGGAACTAAAGTCTGATTTAAGACTTGGTTATATTTCACATCATTCATCCACATCTGTAAAGTAACTAAAGGTATTCAATACATGTAGTCTACACCACACTAAAAAAAAGTACACCATTTACTTCTGAATTGTTGTGTGGTAGCAACACTTGGACTTTGTCCGTCTCTCATTGATTTGCATGGACAGTTCAGGCCTCTGCAGAATGCTGAGCTTCACACAGATCACTTGAGCAACACAGAGCAGTAGGATCAGGAACAATGAATCACAAGAAAAGAAGAAGTAGGAGACATGAATCCCTGAGGGTAGATTCAGTTTCTCTCTGTTGTTGTGTACACATTACAGTGTAGAACATGTTCAGGGCCCAGGAGGTGAACTGGCACCGCTCCAGCTACAGCCCACACTACATTTATTTTTGGGTCCACGAGGACTTGAATCAGTGGCCATCAGTGGCCCAAGCCTCTACGGATTAAGCCACTGCCGCCCCCGAAAGCACATGTAGCACGTACTGTATATCTGTTGCATTATTTTCAGTCTTTCCGTACATTTTGGCCCTGTTGTAAATATTCTGGACAGCTAAAATGACTTATCCCCCGGACTCATTATAGTTTCATCCACATATCTAATATTTTATGATTAGGATGATTGGATGTCTTTGTTGTGAACACACTTTGAGCACCTGTGTTTGCCCCTCAGATGCAGTGATGGAGTGCTGCAGAAGGCGGAGTGTGTCTCCAGCTCTAACACGTCTCTGACCCTCTGGATGAACATCAGATGTAATACAGCTCAGACTGCTGATATGGAGAACCGCAGCCTGCTGTCCCTCTCTGTGGCCCTGCTGAGCTTCCTGAGCCCCTGTCTGACGGCACTGACTCCCAGGGTCTCCTTCCATATGGGTGAGTGATGGTTCCCTTTTCCTGCGGGCGAACTTAAAGATACTAACAGATTGCAATGAGGTAGTTATTAAGCGGGGTGATGGAGAAAAACTCCCTTTGGAGGTAACACAGGGATTTCAGCCTTTGCAGACCATTTACACAAAAACCTATAGAACACACTACAGGAGAGGGAAACCCCCAAAAGCCTCTTTAACCTGTTTAGCCCCACGGACCCGCCGAAGGGGCCGAAACCACAACATCTGCAAGCAACAGTGTCTGAGGGCTTCTTAATATTTAATAAACTATGAATGTTTTATATCCATGTAACAAGAAGAAACTCAGCTAACTGATCTTTTTTTTTTTTTTTTTTTTTTAAACCCACAAAGCTAACGCTCAGCCTCTAGCGAAAGCCACGAGCGAAGAAATGCTAACGCATTACTGCACAGAAACTCACTCATAACACCCTTATTACTTATCGTAGCTGCACGTCCAACCCATCGATTAGCATCGTGAGAAGACACAGAATCGATCGGTACCTACATTATCACTCCATGATAAGAACTCGCGACTTTATAAACAAAAACAGACATCAAAACATGTGGCGCTAGGTAGCTAAAACGGCAAAATGGCGTACCTTTGTCGTTGTCTGGTCAAAAGTGGTCTTCAATGGCATTAAAACGATAAAAACGCTGCTGAAGGTTAATCCATAGGTTAATCCAATGTGTCTGTGTCCCTTTGAAATGATTTCTGATAATCCATAAGCAATAAACCGACTTTCCCGTTTTCAGATGTCAGAGCGAGAGATAGGTTTGCTCTGGCCAAAACTGCATGCGCGAAGCCCCCACTTTTTTTTGTTAACGTTGGTGTGTATGTGAAAATTCCCCTTCGATTCTATTGGCTCTAACGGTTAAAAAGAGATGTCAATCACCAAAATCGACCAATGGGTTCCAGAGAAACGGCAAGAACGCCCATTTCCACCAAAATCACCCCAGAGGTGGAGTTTTTTTTTGCTAAACCTCTCTAAAAAGGTCAAATGTCATTTGTTTTGCATCAATCTTGATACAGGGTACTTATTATATGTTGTACTTTGGATTCCTAAAGCTTTTAGTCTACCATCCCATCATTCAAGGGTGGTTTTCACTATAAGTAAAAAAGAATATTTGGACGGACGTTTTTTTACTATGTTCAATCTGAATTTTCTTTAAAATAAAAAACATCTATATTGATTCTGACTTTTCTACATCCAACTCACAGGTTTATCATTACTTTGAGAAAAAAGATTATTAATTTTCCCCTTTTAGAAGTGTAGTTATGGTCATTTGTTCTGGAAATGTCATTTTCGAGCCTGAGACCTGAAAAACAGGCTTGGGGCCTAACAGTTAAAGATGAGGGTCTAAGCCAGGCATCCTCAAAGTCCGGACTCCGGTCCGGATCCGGACCGAACCACAACTGTCTCTGGACTCTGAGCAAATTATACTTTTCATATGTATTATCTGTATTATCTGCGAGACATCGCCACAACACAACGAGTCAAAATTCTCCGCTATGTCCACTGCAAACAGCGCTCTGCATGTCCGACTGTTCCACTGTCTGTGTGTGTCTGTCAACGCTTTGGTCCAATCACATTCAGCATCCCGTCAGCGTTTTTTTCCCCCACCAACAGTCTGCGAATCAGAGGCACAGTAGGGCGGGTCTTCGCGGAATGCGGGTGGGAAAAATGCGTGTGTGTTTAAAAAAAAAAAAGTTAGAGCGAGAGAAAAAAATCGGGGATCGAGATTTTTTTTTTTTTATTATTTTTTCTTTTATAAAATATTTTTATTATTTTATTTAATGTTACAAAACAAAAATGACCATGTTCACGTCTTGAAGTCATCCTGAGGCCTTAGTTTTGGTTTAAAATGACACAACATCATGTATGTGTTGCTTCTTTTGGGCTTGTTTTCATAGACCTGGTTGCTTATTTCTCTCAAATCTGGCAACAGAGTGGGCAGGGCGCAGTGTCTAATAGTAGCAGTAAGCTAACAAGAGGCTACGTTCAGCTGGTGCCTCGGGAGTCGGGACAGAGAAAATGTCAGGAGTTTGGAAGTATTATAAAATTGAAAGCGAAGGCAGTGTAACGGCGGAGGTTCCGCCGAGCTACGTTCAACACGACCAATCTAATACAAACGCCAACAACAACACGACGAGTACACAGCGGCCACTCAGGTAACGGCACTGAAACAACCAACACTTTCAGAGACTTTTAAAAGGAAAGAGAAACTGCCCCAGAACAGTGAAAAGGCCAACAAAATAACAGCCAAGATAGCTGAATTCATCGCGTTGGATGACCAGCCATTATCTGTTACCTTTTTTTTCTCTTAATGCATTGCATAAAGATCGGATCGGGAAAAATCGGTATCGGCAGATTGTCAAAATCAAATGATCGGAATCGGATCGGGAGCAAAAAAAGGTGATCGGGACATCCCTAGTTGTGGCTCATCGGACATTTATGAGAGAAAGTCTCTAATGTCCGAGTGCAAGTGAATGCAGCACAAGACGCACGTCTTGTAACCCCTCCCCCGGCCCTGGCGCGAGCGTGGAAATATGATTGGCGGCGATTTCATTTGAACTGTACGGCGCAAAACTAGAAGCATTCGGACCCAAGTACTGAAGGAATGAGGTATTTGCGGTCTACAATGACAGAGAAGAGACTGTCAAGTTTGGCTGTACTCAGCATTGAATCAAAACGCACTAAAGCTGTTGATCTTACTAATTTTGTGAGGCGTTTTGCTGAACAAGATGGTAATCGCCGCATTCAGCTGTAATAGACATGTCAACTTGATGCTCTGCTCACGGATGAGCATACAAAACACGGATGAGCATACAAAATTGTGAAGATTTTTAAATTTCATGTAAATAATCTGCTTAAAAAGCTAAGGGTTAGGCTAGGTTTCTTTTACAGAAATAAGTCCTGTTTCTCGCTTGAGGCCAGGAAAAGGCTCTGTGACCTTTTTACCTGTGCTGGACTATGGTGATCTGATTTATATGAATGCACCTGCTAATTACCTGAGCAAGTTAGATGCTGCGTATCACAGTGCACTGAGATTTCTGACAAATTGTAAAGCACTTACGCTGTATACCAAGGCGGTTTTGCCATCACTTACTGTACGGAGGCTCAGTCACTGGTACATGTTCATTTACAAAGCCATGTTGGATAAACTACCATCTTATATCTGCTCCCTGATCTCTCGGCGAATTGAAAGTAGTTATTGCCTGAGATCGCATGCTGTGGTTTTATTAAATGTGCCAAGTGCTAGGACTGTCTTAGGGAAGAAAGCTTTTAGATGTGCAGCTCCACTAACTTGGAACAGTCTGCACAAATAATGGAAAATTACCAATCTGGTACCACTACATGTTTTTAAAGCTTGGTTGGATGCTACACAATCAGAAGCTGTTGGTACCTGTACATGTGGATAGATATGTAAATTGTAATCCCTGTAATTGTTGCTGTATGATGTCCTTTGGTTGTTCTGTTGTTTATGTTTTTATGTCTTCGTGTGGAACCTGCTGCTGCAGGTCTCCCTTGAAAAAGAGATCAATGATCTCAATGGGATTTCACCTGGATAAATAAAGGTTTTGAATTGAATTGAAGATGATGACCTTACGTGTGTAAATATATATTTTTTCTTTGTGGGGGTCTGCCCCCAAAAAACAGTTTTAAATTCTGAGAAAGTAAAATAAGACGGTGTGTAAAACTACACTGCCCAGCCAAAACAAAGTAACCACTTTGATTGAACTAGGCCAGTAGGTAAGGACTTTCCACTGGATAATAACTGAAGTATAAAAGAATGCATGACTGAAGTGATGGAGACCATGTTTGAAGGCAAACAAAAAGAGGAAATAACAGGTCAAATCAAGCAAATCCCCCTCTCAGATTCCACAGCAACCAGAAGAACATAAATACTGGCTGGTGATTTGATTAATCAGCTTTGTGATGGAATAGAAAATGCACAGTGCATTTCCTTAGCTGTGGATGAGTCCACTGACACCACTGACAATGCTCAGTTGCTGGTGTTTGTGAGTTTTTATGATGAGGCAAAGGGGGAGTTTGTTGAAGATGTGTTGGGCCTGACGAACCTCAGTGGACACACAAGGGGGCAAGACATTTATAAAGCAATAATGGGAATGCTGAATGAAAGAGGGTGCAGCTGCCTCAAGGAAGTCAAGGACTTCAAGTACCTGGGCTCATGGCAGAGGTGTGGACTCGAGTCACATGACTTGGACTCGAGTCAGACTCGAGTCACCAATTTGATGACTTTGGACTCGACTTGACAAAATCACAAAACACTTGCGACTCGACTTGGACTTGAACACCAATGACTCGGGACTTGACTTGGACTTGAGCCTTCTGACTTGAGGTGACTTGATCATTTAATTCAGGGGTCTCCAACACGCCAATCGCAAGAAGAGCAGACTCCCGTCGGGGAGAGCAGAATCTTCAGCCGCTGCAACTCTTGCTGAGAATCCATGCAAGCAGGGGCGGGACTTTATTTTGCTGAGCCACCATGCGGCCAATCATATGCGAGGACACACTAGGATCATACCATTATGTGAAAGAAGGGTGGGGGGCAGACGCTCCAAAGACAGCAGGTGTAGTGGTACAGGCCAGCTACACAGAGCGACGGGGAGACGGGGAGCCGGATTTAAATGCAAGCGCATTGGAAAAAGTCAAGAAATTTGCGAAAACCGAAAAAAGAAGCAGCATCTGGCTGCATTTCAATGATATTGGAGAAAGCAGAGCTGAGTGCAGGATTTGTAAAATGAAAATAACCTTCAGAGCAGGGTTTTTTTTTTTTGGTAACCACTCAGGATTTATTGTCAGAGGTGGGAGAAGTTCAGGGGCCTCATTTATAACGCCTTGCGTAGGATTGACGTGAGAAGGTTGCTTACGTAGTACAAAGCAAAAAAATAGGTACAGACATTTTCCGACATTTTCCGATTCACAAAACATTGCGTACCGGCGAGGGAAGTGCGTACCGGCACTTCCTACGCCTGTTTCCCTTTTATAAATCACAATCGACTCGAAATGCGGCGCAGCTTTTGCAGGCTTCACGTAACGCCCATATTTGCCTATAAATAGTCAAAGAAACGCCCATTCATTCATTCATTTTGACTGACTGCATGAAGAAGATCGCAGGAAATGAGGACAGAACAGCTAAAAAAGACATCTCTCACACCGTGTCAGATTTTGGTTATTTTGGGGATGTCGAGATAAATCATATTGTTTGGTGGATGCAGTTTGAACCAGAGTAGCAGCATGGAGGTCGGATCGTCACCAAAATAAATAAATAAGTGGTCCGAAAAAAGTTAATGACAAAAAAAATACACATAACCTTCCTCAGGCAGTGTGTTTGTCCCGGGGACAGGAGACACCCCCCTTGATGAGAAACTGTAAGAAATGATGGGGGAATCCCTCCGGAGTGGAGTCATGACGACTGGATCTGAATTATTTTGTTGTATTTGGTGGTTTGTGTTCCAGCTGTCGATCAGCAACTATATATCCATAATCCACCAGTTAAAGGAAATACAACTAATGTGTTGTGTTATATTAGCTGAACAATTGACCACATATGGTGTTCTTAGTTTCCATACCTCCTGTGTTTTACGAGCGACTTATCAAGTCTTGGCAAACGGCATAAAACACGATTAAACGTGATAGTATATAAAACTATGCTCGTATCTACAACCTATAGAAAAGCAAAACGGCGTCAGTTTAGACGTAATTCTGTCCTCCTGCTTACCGCATCATTTATGAGAAAACATTTCATAACATTAACACAACATATTCGAGGTGGTTTTAAATAACATTTCCGTATTTATTTATTTCTCCAAGTTATGTTTTAGTGTGCACTGAGGAGTCTCAAACAGGCGTTTGTTTAATCATTTTAAGATTGGCTTTAATCAATGTTTGAAAATGAATTCTTCATATTTGATAAATGAGAGGTAACATTTTATTTATGGTATTATTTCCACATATTTCTCTCCATTCTTCCTTCTGCCAACGGTGTCGCAGTTTCTCGTCTCTCCCGTTTGTGTGCTTAGTGCGTACGCATGGGTTAGAGTTTGCGTGGAGGACTGCACATTTTCCAGTCAAGTTAGTATTTTATAAATCGCAAACATTGCGTAGAAACTGGTGTACGCCATTTTTTGAGCGTATATCCCTTTATAAATGAGGCCCCAGATCTTGTACTTGAGTAAAAGTACCAGAGTGTAGGAATACTCGGTTGCAATAAAAGATCCTGCATTCAAAATGTTACAAGTAAAAGTACAAAAGTATTAGCATCAAAATATACTTAAAGTACCACCTGCAGAGGGATCTAGATTCAGGTGTTCTTTTCCCCATAGAGACGCCTCGCTGCACATTATCCCTTGCATAAAGATAGATCGTGGGTCCCTTATAACATGTTGTACACAGTGGAAATAAACATTCTGGATACCCTAACATCAGGGATCTTATACATTAAACTCCTTCTGAATCAAACCGTCACGGTAGCCTTACCTTACTGATCCCTCTTACAATAGAAGAAAAACACGTTACTTTACCAGCAGAGAGAAAATGGATTATTAAATGATTAATGTGACTAATAAAGAGCAGTTTGATTATTAAGTATTATTCTGTTGATCGATGTCATTACATTTGTTGAAAAGCACATAAGAACTTGTTTAAGACTCGTTTTGTCAAAGTTTAGGACTTGGACTTGACTTCAACTTTCCCATCCTGACTTGAGACTTGACTTGGACTTGAGCGCAAAGACTTGAGACTTGACTCGGACTTGAGCGCAAAGACTTGAGACTTAACTCGGACTTGAGACTTGACTTGGACTTGAGCGCAAAGACTTGAGACTTGACTTGGACTTGAGCGCAAAGACTTGAGACTTGACTCGGACTTGCAAAACAATGACTTGGTCCCACCTCTGGCTCATGGGTCAACTCAACCGAGCAAGATCTTAAGGTGAGGAAGGCACTTGCATGGCGGGCACTGAACGGCATGACCAGTGTATGGAACTCCAACCTCCCCCGACAAATCAAAAACCAGCTTCTTCTATGCAACGGTAGAGTCTGTTCTCCTCTATGGCAGTGAATGCTGGACCCTGAAGCCAACCCTGCAAAAGTCTCTAGACGGATGCTACACCAGAATGTTGTGAGCAGTACTTAACATCAGCAAGAGTGTACATGTAACCAACAAGATCCTGTACGAGGGAATACCAAGGGTGAGCGAGAAAATTTCAGCCAGGAGAATGAGACTAGCAGGACATTGCCAAAGGCATCAAGAGCTGCCAGCCAGCAAATTGGTGCTGTGGGAACCAACACACGGGCATCGGTCACGAGGACGTCGCACACTAACATACGTGGACGTACTCAAGAATGACGCAGGAGCACAAAGTACCAATGAACTGGCTAGATGTATGGAGAACCGGGATGACTGGAAGCGACGATGGAGGGCTCGTCTGAGGACGACCTAGAGAGAGAGAGAGAGCAGCTGCCTTTATTCATAACTGTGCAGCTCTCACACTGCGACTCTGAGGGATCAAGCACAGACACAATAACAATGAAAACTGCTGCATACAGATTATTTTTGTTTTTGCAACCTCGTGTTAAGAATCTTGTTGCAATTGTTTAAAAGTTTGAATGACCGTAATAAACGGACCTTTGTCTTATTGATTTTTTTTTTTTTGACCTTTAACATTTGTATTTGAGTACCCCTGGTCTAAGCTGTTGTTCACATTGTATGTCATTACAAGACTGTGCCAATGTTTTATGAAGTAAACCGTGCATTGTGTTTTGTTAAGACAATATCTTTATGCTATGTTGGTGTAGCCGTTCCAACACAGCTCAGCAGTTACCACACCTATGAAGGAAGGATTTGCGGCCAGAAGAGTTTTAAGGCCCGTTGCGGGGAATCAGTTAATGTGGGCCGAAGAGAGCTGTGGGCCAATTGTCTATTTTGACAGGGTCCCGGGGCAGAGCAGACTAAAGACAGCATATTGTGACTGAAAGGGATCAAATCCCTGCTGCTAGGTTCTCACATCTGGTGGAAAGCCTGACATCAGAAGAGTCTGAGCAGCTGATTAATGCTCAGAGTTTAGAAAGACAACAAACATGATGCTGCCATGTTCACATGTCCCAATATCAAAGATACACACTGATGAGCCAATGCTGCACTCCAGTACTAGGGCTAAATATGGACTTAACTACTTAGTATAATGTTAGAAGATTGTTAGCATACAGATAGCATAGTTCCCTGTTGCACAACCCTAGTTTACTTTAAAAAATCACTTCAAACTTTCAATATTAAAGTAAGGGACCTATAGCTTCTGTTCTAACACAATCCCAACCCCACCATTAAAAAAATCTATCGCACAGATTCAATAGAGTGTATCAGCCGATGACAGTTGAGCTAATTAGCGTTGGTTTCCACTGCTTTCCATGGTACTAGGTCATTATCTTGGGATGGTTTGATGTGTGGGAGTAAAGCTCACTGAACTCTACTACAACCTGTCCTAACTGGTCCACTAATGGGGCTTTCACACCAACGCAGTTCCAGGGCCGGTTCGGAGCTAGAGCCTGAAAAGTACCGTTTTTTCCTCTAATAGGGCTTTCACACCAACGCAATTCCCGCTAGAGCTTTTCTGGTTTGGAACCGGTTTTTCTTTTCAGCCCCCGGTTCTTGCTTCTAGACCGACAATTCTTTGGTGCTTGAAACAAACCGGATTCCGGGAATCGCGTTGGTGTGAAAGCCCTATAACTGTCCTGAAGTCTCAGACCTGCCCTTCCTATGGTGCATCACGTTTTATACAACAGATTTAGCTGATGAGCTGTCAGCCATGAAAGGCTGAAGAGGTTGTTTGTGTTGTAGATTTAATAAGGGTTTTTGGTTGGATAAACGTTGGTATTGGTCTTTGTTTATATTAATATTATTATTTTGTGATCAATTATGGAATGGATCAGTTGGCTCTGATTGGATATTGGCGGCACTCATAGTAAATATAAATACCTGTCCACCTGTTTGAGGTGTGTGTGGAAGAGAGGGTGAGAGGGTCGCTGTGTTTTCTGTTGACTGCAACTTTTGACAACTGGATTACACAGACTATATGCTTGTCCATATCATAAACCAACCGTTTTCATTGAATTAAGATTTTATTCAAACAATTTTTGGATCTCAGCAAATCATTATTCAAAGCGACCAGGCCGACCTCAGCCTCTCAGCGACTTATTGGTTCCTTTTTACATTTACAATTTACAAAAATACACATCCAGGTGGACAACAAAAAGTACCACTTGTAGTATTTCCAATGAGTTTAGCATTTATAAAGAAGTGATAGTATTAAAGGTGGAAGTATATATTGCCCCGGTTATTTACAGATTTATTACAGTAGTTGAATTGGCTAGCTAAGAGATAGTTGATAATGATTACTAGAGCATATGGACAGTAAATGCTTATGTGATGTATTCAGGCCAGGGATGTGTTTACATAAATGCTCTTTGCAAATGAGCAGATTGCAGCCTGTGAACATCTGGATGTTTCTAATTGTCCTTAGTAAATGTGTGAAGTTTCCTAATCCCAGTGTTACCTGCTGTGAACCAACAGGGAGTCCTGGGAGACATGTGACCCGCTTCAGCAGCCCTGAGGTCAGCAACACCAGCACCCTGCTGCTCAGTGAGGACGAAGACATGCTGTATGTGGGGGCCCGGGACGCTGTGTTAGCTCTGGACGTTAGCCACGAGGACGCTATCACACTGAGGAGTCAGGTGAGACACCACCACTGATAACAGTCACACTACTGCAGTTACTCATCACTTTCCTTATATGTTACATTCATGGAGCGAGAGCTCTCAAAGAATATCACAAGTTTATCATATGTTTAATGCTGCTTTATGTTAGTATGGTGCCAATAATCTGGCTTGTTTGACACCCCTGCTCAAAGCCATTCAGACGCCTAAACAGACGACCCGGTATCTTTCTATTTATTATTGGTACCCACAGTTGACTTTCCTGGCATTCAAAAATGAAAATAGTCAATGTGTGCAATAGTCTAACAAATCAAAACCAAAAGAGGCACATCTCAAATAAAAGGGTTAGCAAATTAGATGCCCATATCTGTGTCTCTTAAAGTCTGGCGCTGTAGGAATTGTAGTCTTTTATATTTCCTGTCTACAGAGGACGCCACTAGGAGACCAAACGGTTTAACCTTTTTACACAAAACAAACTGAAATAAACTGGCTCTAACATTTCCAATGACTCTTCTGCTTGTATGAGAATCATGTGATCAAGTGATCCTGTCACAGTGTTACAAAGATAAAACGGGTAGAATTGCTTCAATAGGATTCACCATTTGAACAAATAGATGAACAAAATCAAGACCTGTTACATTAGCAGCTATTGTCATGTGAATGGACCCCCCCACCCCTGCATAATACTCCATCTTTGTAATGGAAGATGTAATGAGTGTTTCATGGTTGATCTGCAGTTTGTGTGTATGATGCATTCAGCTCCTCTCCTCTTCTTCCAGCTGGACTGGAGCCCTTCAGACAAAGACCTGGAACAGTGTTCCATGAAAGGAAAGGAAATGGCAAGTTTGAGAGTTTGATCACTGTATTTAGATAAGTAGGAAAATCAAAGTCAATTAAAAATGTCTCCTCCTGACCTTTAGTACTCAAATCAAATCAAATGAAGTTTTATTTATATAGCACATTTTTAAAACGATTTTTGGTTGAATTACTAATAAAACAAAACCACTTTTCATAACATACAACTTTCACATCTGGCTGTTAATGTTAAAGAGCACCGTGTAGAGTGGTGTGTAGTCTTTCATTGTGAATTGTTAGTTTGAGAGCGTGCTTTGCCAAGATATCCTAACGTCCCTTAGGAATCAGGAGGCACACGCTGCTCGCTGTACATCTTGGTGGACTTCTAACTTGATGTCTTTTGTCTTTCTCTAGACCGACTGTCCTAATTTCATCCGTGTGCTGCAGTTCTTGAACGCTACTCACATATACGCCTGCGGAACCTTTGCCTACAGCCCCCGCTGCTCCTACATTGTGAGTTTACACAGACGTTCAACTGATTGGTTGGTTTTACTTTTTGACGGTATAAAATGTTTATGGATTTCAAGCAATATAACCAGGTTTACTTTAACAGCCACATTTGATTTCTCTGTTGATCTCTATTTAATTCTATATCTTTCTATATTTTCTGTCCAGACCTCTGAGACGTTGATGATGAGCATGAAGCCCGATGAAGGCCGGGGTCGCTGCCCCTACGATCCCTACCAACGCAACACCGCCATCATCGTAGGTCAGTGCGGCCATGATGTCACCACCAATGATCACTCTATAGCTGTTGGTGGCCCAGCAATCCTTTCTATAGAATCTGTTCCCTCTTTAACAACTTATTAGCTGTGATTCAACACTTCGACATGTTTTAAGTTAACAGATTATCTATAGACTATATGTGACATTTCTCCAACATACCTACATATAAAGTGGTGCAGGAATAAGTCCTAAACCCAGAAATACGTTTTCATTATTAGCATTTTAGCATTTAGGGCTCCATTGCCTCCTAGTCGACTTTTTTCTTTTACATGTTTGCGGTTAGAAACCTGAAGTAAGGTCTGTGGTTAACACAAACTGAAGATAATTTAATGTTTTGTTCTAAACATAAAATATGTCAGTAAATACCCCATTGGTGAAAGTCTAAAACTTCAATGTATCAGAAAAACAACGGTTGCTAACAAGTGACTAAATCACACTACTAACCATCTTCACTCCTAAGCCTCCTTTAGCTTAGCCGTGTTGAGATGAAGTCATGTGACCCTGCTGTAGTTTGTTGCCTAACATTAGGTTTTTATTACTGGAGATTGCATTTACTCTTCAAAATTCATGGAGTGGTGTTAATATGCAGAGATTATCCTTCTGAACAAAAGCACAACAGTTCTAAATGGACTTCATATAGAGTGCTGTTATTCTGCGTCCACTCAGAGCATTTTAAAGGAGACATGTCATGCTTTTCCGGTTATGACCCGTCCCCTTGTGTGTTATGAAGGTTTTTATGCATGTAAACGGTGTGCAGAGTCACAAACCCTCAAAGTACACCCTGTAGCAAGTAAAACTCTAACACAGAAAATACCTCCCCAAAACGCCTCGTTGGAGATACGTCATTGTCCATTTGATTCTTCCGGGTACGGGATGATGTAATCCCGTACCCGGAACGAAATGGACCAATCCGTGGAGCCGTTGCGTTACGTCTGCGGAGTCGTTACGTTAAGCCCCCGCTGATTGGTCCAAATTGACCAATCCACGGACTTCCTCACACACACATCTGTGTGCAGGGAGCAGGCAGCTCAGCTGATTTCTCCTCCCTGGCTGCAGGCTGATAACAGACAGTTGGGATCGCGGCCAAATTCTCTCTGCAGACCCATTCTCACAGCGTTTATCAACCTTTTTCTTACTCAATATCAAGCCACACTTATTGTTTTTACTTCGGCTGTGACTTTGTGTGTGCTCAGGATGAGTTTGGCTGTGTTTCGCTGTGTATGCTAAACAAGGAAACAACACCTCCACGGAGCTCAGCGCGATTCACAACGTCCCGACCAATCAGAGCACACTGTGCTCACAGGGAGGGTGGGGGCTGGAGCTATTGGAGCTACAACGAGCCGTTAAAGGCAGAGTGAAATTCAGTGAATACACGTAGTTTACAGAGATGCTGTATGAGAAACCAATGTGAGTTTGGAAAAATGCACAATATAAATCTATTCTAGTAGACCTCAACAATGGAATTATGATCAGTGGAAATGGCCATGACATGTCTCCTTTAAAGTGCATTACAACAAAGACCGTGTTAACTGTGGTTTCTGCCCGCACATGACTGAGTCCTTGAGAGCTGTAAATGAGACCTGGACCCCACAGGCTTTCTGTTTCTTTATTTACACCATATATTGACTAAAAATAATTTCAGGCACCATGTCAAGTAAGCTGGAAATTGGCTTAAAGAATGTCACGTGTAAAACAAATTGTTGTCTCAATAACTAATATTTCTGATTATCTTCAGAAAAACTCAAATGTGATTTGAGGAACACAGGATAATTATCAGGCAACAACTTCCTTCCTTTAACCTAAGGTTTGTCTGCAAAGAACACTATATTAAATATGTATTATACCTATATTAAACTGCCTGGCAGGGTGATAAAGCTGTCAAAATGAAAAATATACAGACAAGGTAATGATGAACAAAATAGTAACACAAAAACATGAAGCAAACTGATTGTTCAGTGTATCAGGGGAATGTCCTGTCTAGCAGTAGCTAACATTTCAGTTTAGTACATTTTAGAGTTCCTTTGATGATGATGTCATACATAGGTTCTAGCTGTCGTGTTGAAACAGTGTTCAGTTTGAAGGCTCCTCAGGATTGTGCTGTGCCCCTCAGACGGAGAGCTGTACACCGGCACCGTGGCAGACTACAGGGGGAACCGGCCCCTCATCTCCAGACACCTGAGTGAGGGCCGGAGGGTGGACCTGAAGCTGGACGACACGCTGGGCTGGCTGGAGGGTGAGGGTCACCCTGAAACATAAACTCAAATACTTGTACTTGTACTCATACTAGTTAAAGTACAGGTACTTTAAAATGGTACTTAAGTACCATACTTGAGGATATGTGAACTACTGAAACTAAACAGAGAACAGAGAAAAACAACAAACAGAAAAGATGTTGACATATCCCCACAAACGTTGCCCTCTGTTGTAGACCCGACCTTCATCAGCTCCAGCTTCATCCCTGAAGAGGAGAAGATCTACTTCTTCTTCAGTGAGGTGGGCAGAGAGTACGACTTCATCGACAAGTTCATCGTTTCTCGCGTGTCTCAGATCTGCATGGTAAGGACCCTGCAATCTGATGTTGTTATTTTCACTCTTGCACTAGCACACATTTTTATAGTCATACATATCTACTTCATTCACACAGTCATACGTTAGTATTCTTATATACATACCAGTGTTTCCCCTAGGATGGAGTCATAGCAGCGGTGCTAAGGCACGTGGGCCCAGCATAATGTGAGCGCGGAGCGCGTGGAATTTTTTAGTGCGTGCGAAGTGCGCCCCGCCAATTTGTTTCTATGTGTCTGCCAGCACAAGAAAGGCTCTTGAGGCAAATGTATTCAGTATTGTATGAACATGTTTGAATTGGGGGGTGGACGTCACATCCTCTAGGGGGGTCCGGGGGTACGTCCCCCCGGGAAGATTTTTTTTGAACATTTTAAAGTAAAATGCTTCAATCTGGTGCACTTTGAGCACACAATTACTAGAGACCTGATCTAGGGGGTACAACTCTAATGGCGCGTTTCCACTACACGGCCTCGCTCGGCCCCGCTCGGTATGGCTGGGCCTCGTTAGGACTGGCTCACTTTATGGCGCATCTCCATTACAGTTTAGGAACTGGGGCAGTATCTATAGTAACGCAGTGTAGGCGGAGCCGTGACGTGATCTTCAGAGGACCCCAGAAAAACAACACAGCCGTTAGCTGTTAGCGCTCAGAGCTCACAGCTCCTCATATATGTTCAGAAACTAGACAAAAGTTAAACAAGTACAAACCACAGACTGCCTGTGTCATGGTGAATACAGTCGCTGCTTTATTTATGTCTGTATAGGCCGTTGTTGTGAGTGTGGACGGTCGGAGCATATACTGCGTTAGCTTAGCCAATCTCCATTTAGAAAACAAGCATTTTAAAAGGTTTTTCCCCTGCCGTCTGTCTGCAGACTTGACAAAGCATTAATTCATGGTTTTTACTAACCGGTATCAGTATGTTGTTACTTCGGCATCATTTTGAAACGTGTATTACAATTAAATCACGGTCAAATATGTCCATCTTGTTGTAGTTGTAGTCCCCTTGCCAGCGATGCTCTCTCTAGTTTAGCATACTCAGCCCGACTCAGCCTCGTTGCCTCTGGCCCTGGACCCACGATTTTATGAGGCCAGAAAAACTGTGAATTAGGACCCGCCGGCCGGTACTAGGCCAAGTGGAAACGCAACCAAAGACGGGCCGCTGACGTCACAGCCCTCTTAAACCGGGCTGCGCGCTGTAGTGGAAACGCGCCATTAAACACCCATATGAAAAAGATCAGTTTACATTTTAATAATCAAATAAGTATGTGAACATAACCATTAACCTACCATAGCCAATAACAAATAAATGTAACTTATTTTATTTTTTATAAATTATTTTTTTATTTTTGTTGTTCTTATTTTACCTAGTTAACATTTATTTATTTATGCATATTTTTGTATCTCTCCAACTTTAAACGATATTTTTGGTTTACTGTCCTATAGTCAGTGTTGGGTGTAACGCGAGTTACAGTAATATATTACTTTTTGCTGTAACAAAGTAATGTAACGCATTACTAATGAAATATGGGTAATATATTACCCGTTACAATTCTCAGTAACGCAGTTACAGCACATTTTAACCCGAAATGAAATGGTGTTTTGTTTTTTAAGAATGTACCAACATCGCGAGACATTCCGACACCAGAGAAAAATTGTGCGGGTAGATTAGTAAACCTGGTGTTTACCCTTCAGGCTTCACGTCGGGATCTTCGGGGGTGCATAGGCATGCATTGCACCCCCAGTTGAATGTTATGCACCCTCTATTCAAAAAAGAGAAGGGAGAGAAAAATACAAACAACAAATTGTGTCAGGTGCGCGTGACCTGCTCCGCTGCACGTGCATCATTTCCAAAGTGCTAACACATCTGTGGATAATCATGTATACGAAAATGGTTAAAGCAACATAACTAAACGCCAGCAACACTGCATCTACTGCAGACAATAGCAACAGGTCAGATGGGGACATCACGTTACCCTCCGTTGTGGACACTAGCTTACTCCCGCCTGACTCGCCGCCCTCGCCCCCGGAGCAGCAGTTTTCGTCGCCCGAAACTACGCCGCCCCTCTGTGGCCCGTAGGTGCCAGGATACCACGTCAAAACAGAGCCTGCCCAGGTATATCTAAACAAGTACCCGCCTGTACAGTGGGGTAAGGCGGTCATTTTGCAGCTCGTGGTATAAAAATAGACAATGGCTAGAATATTCATGTGAAAATAGTGCCATATTCTGCCATGCCTGTAGAAATGTTGGGTCAAAAATAATGCATACAATAGCACAGATGCTTTCACCACGAATGGCTACAAAAAGATCTCATATCCCAAGCTTATCAACAAGCTAATGTTGCAGCTGAAATGTTCTCCAGGTCACAAAGTCAACCTCACATGATGATGTGATACCAGTTTTCAAGCACAGTAAATATTCTCTTCCCAGAGTATATGATGGGACCAAGGTGATGATGTAGTACATGGTTTTAATAATACTTTTGCTTTTCAATGTTTGCCATTTCAAACCATGAGCTTGTTCAAATAATATTTGCCTTGATTTACAATATGTTCTCATTTGTTTTATCAGTACAGTTTTGAAGCTTTTGTGCTTTTCCTTGCCATAGTCCACTTTGGACTATATGAAATATTTCAGGATTGCACTTTTAACACACTTGAAATGTTCTCACTTGCTTGGTTTCAAAACATAACAAATGCCATAATCTGTTCATTGGGGACCATAACATCAATGCTATTTTTCATTGCTGTTGCCGGCCACTATTGCTCATGTAAACCTACTACTGCTGCGCCCCCTGTAATCTCAGATGCACCCCAAGTCATTTTGTTTTGGAACCGGGCCTGTACATGGCCATATACTAAACAAAATACAGAGCCCATTCCGTGTTCCTGTTATTGTTTACTTCCTCTCTGCCTTCTTCTGGTGATTTATCTGACGTCCAGCGCTCCGTCTTTTAACCTCTTTTCCTTTCTCTTTCTTGATCCTCCTTAGCAACCATCATTATAGTCCTTGACAGTGGTCTGTACTACTGTATTAACAACGTGTCACATGTTAAAGGGGACCTATCATGCAAAATGCACTTTTGTACGTCTTTTATACATGAATATGTGTCCCCGGTGTTCCAGGGAACTCACCAAGTGTCAGAAAACACAACCCTCTCTATTTTCCTCCATACCCAAATCTCTAAAAACGAGGCTGCAACGGATCTGATACAGACTGATCCAGATTTGAACACTGTCCTGACGTCAGGACGGTGGCGCTACGGCTATTGGGCCAACTCTCCACCTATCAGGGGAATGTGGGGTTGGGCCACGGCCGGCCATTGCCGCTCGAAAGCGCTGGAGACGCTGTAGTACATATGCCAGGCCTGTAAGTGGCGCTGTAGTCTGCCACAAAAGCAGCGAAGAAGACTTCCCGCGCATGGTTACCATGGTTACCCTTATGTTTATTCTCCGCTGTGGCTCTTTTTCTCCCTCCCCGAGGCAAGCGTTTGCTCCCGCTGCTTTAATTCAATGCAATCCCTCCCCGTCGAGGCAAGCACTGTAATTCTCTCCGGTTAGTCCACCAGCAGATGACAAACACCCACCTCTCCGCCTCTTCCAAGGAACGAGGGGACCGTGCGGCAGAGTTTCAGTTAGGTTTTTTTTCGCCGGGAAAGATGTCCGTTAAAGTTGAAATCTTCCGGACAAAATTAGAAAAGTGCCGGTCAAAGGTCTTCTTCATACTTCTGCTGGAAAGAGCAAATGGAGCGAAATGAGGCATGGCTAAAATGCAGGATCTGTTTGGTATTTTGAAACTATATTTATATACTTTATATAGGTATGGCCCTACAATATATTGTTCAAATATAGCATGATAGGTGTCCTTTAACCTGTTAAGCCCGAGAGACCCAGGTACCGGGGCACTGCCGCAACATCTTGCAGGAAACAGTGTCTGAGGGCATGTTCATTTAATAAAACTATGAATGTTTTATATTCATGTAACGGGAAGAAATTCATCTAACTGATCATTTTTTTTTTTTTTTTCAAAAGAAAACCCACAATGCTAACACTGAGCCTCTGAATTAGCAACGAGCGAAAAATGCTAACACCTTACTGCACCAAAAATCACTCACAAAACCTTATTATTTATCTCTTCTTTACATCCATGACATCGTTTCACATCGTGAGGTGACACAGAATCGATGGACACCCACATTATCACTGAATTATACGAAATGGCGACGTTATAAGCAAAAACGGACATCAAAACAGGTGACGCTAGGTAGCTAAAAATGCTAACATTTTTACCTTGGCTCTGTAGTCTCTAAGTGGTCTTCAATTGCATTAAAACGATAAAAACGCTGCTGAAGTTAATCCATAGGTTAATCCAATGTGTCTGTGTCCCTTTGAAATTATTTCTGATAATCCATAAGCATTAAAACTGCTTTTCCGTTTCCAGATGTCAAAGCTAGAGATAGGTTCACTCTGATGCAATATTACATGCGCAAAGCCCCCACCGTTTTGTTTCACAATGAGTGTGTGTGGGGGACTCCCCCTTCGATTCTATTGGCTCTAACGGTCAGAAAGAGGTGTCAACCATCAAAATCAAGCAAGGGAAGCCAGATATATGGAAAATCCACCCAAATGACCCCAGAAGTGGTTTCTTTTTGCTAAATCTCTCTAAAAAGGTCAAATGTCACTTGTTTTGCATCAATCTTGATACAGGGTACTTATTATATGTTGTACTTTGGATTCCTAAAGCTTTTAGTCTACTAACCCATCATCCAAGGGTGGTTTTCACTATAAGTAAAAAAGAATTTTTGGACGGACACTATAATTTACAGTTTTTTTACTATGTAAAATCTGAATTTTCTTTAAAATAAAAAACATCTATATTGATTTTGACTATTCTACATCCAACTCACAGGTTTATCATTACTTTGAGAAAAAAGATTATTAATTTAACCCTTTTAGAAGGGAAGATATGGTCATTTGTTCTGGGAATGTCATTTTCGAGCCTGCGACCTGAAAAACAGGCTCAGGGCTTAACAGGTTAAGTATTTACAATCAGAATCCAGTATTCAACTAAGCCGTGTAATAAAAGTTGTTAGTAGCCTTAATGGCCTACACAGTTGTTATGCTATACCACATTGCCCTTCACTGGATGTATAATGAGCTGCACTAAACTGCATTTTAGCATTTAAAATACCTAGCCATTCTTTTGCGGTTATTTTGGTGAAAGTAACTCAAAAGTAATATAAAAGTAGTGTAACTCATTACATTTCAGAGACAGTAATATTGTAATGTAACTTATTACTTTAAAAAGACAGTAATATGTAATATATTACATTTTGGAAGTAACTTGCCCAACACTGCCTATAGTATACACTGGAATGATTTCAAACCTGTTTTTATTTATCCTAATAATTATAAAGGAGTGCCTTGGAAATATGTGTTTACATAATTTGTAAACACATATTTGTTTGAGACCCACTGAGATAACTTAGACTAAAATTAACTATCCAAACACTCAGAGAGTCCTTTACCTCACTGAGCCTCTCAGTCTGACAGGAGAGCTCTCCTCCACCCTGGTTGTAGAAACATCTACTTCTTATATCCGTTAGCGCAGCTAGCACCAGATTCTAATAACAACAGCGCCGGTACCGGTGCGCCCTCTCTCTCTCTCCCTCGCTCGCTCTCTCGCTCCCACGCTCGCACTTTGGCTGTGAGCTGCGGGCGCCTGATAAGCCAACATCCCCCACTTTCATCACTTACAGTGCCCGTCGTACAGGGCAAATGAAAAGTGTAACCGGGGTGAAAAGGGTGTTACATTTACTTAATTATGAATGTTGTTACATCAAGGCCAAAAATTAGGATGAGCGCCAACGGTCAAAAAAGTTTTTTCCCCTCCCAGAGCTACCAGCGCAGCGCCCCCCAGATCTGGCGCCCTAGGCGACCGCCTATGTCGCCTATGCCAAAAATCGGCCCTGCCTAGTACATACAGTGGCAATGTCTCAAGATTTAGCAAAAATACACCTTTATTGAACATACAGTAACACAAATATTACAAATCTACATGGCAAACAATCAAAAATGAAAAAGGGTCGCCACTTATTATTATTTGAATTTAAAAACAAAACAACAACAACAACAAATGTTTGGGTACCTGGCTGGCGCCCCCTAGCAGCGGCGCGCATATTTCAGCAGCGGCGCTGCACCGCCGATATTTGTATATAGGGGAAACACTGCATACATTCTGTGAATATATTTAATAGGGCTGTCAGTCGATTAAAATATTTAATCGCGATTAATCGCATGATTGTCCATAGTTAATCGCGATTAATCGCAAATTAATCGCACATTTTTTATCTGTTCTAAATGTACCTTAGAGGGATATCTTTCAAGTTTTTAATACTCTTATCAACATATGAGTGGACAAATATGCTTTATATGTTTGTTTATTATCATTTGAACAATGACAAATATTCTCATGAATATTAAACACAACAACCTCTGAACATTACGTGTGTGTGTGTGTGTGTGTGTGTGTGTGTGTGTGTGTGTGTGTGTGTGTGTGTGTGTGTGTGTGTGTGTGGAGACACTGTGATGGATCGTTGAGCTATGTGCAGCTCAAGGCATATATGCTCGTATGGGAGCTGCCTGGACGCTGCAATAATGTTGCGCGTACTATCCGTGCTGAGTGTGCTGACTTTTCGTACAATGTCACACTGTCTGGCTACCTGCATAAAGTCAAGTGCTCGGCGCAGTTGTCGGCGAAATGTCATTGAAACAGCTCCTTATATCCGTTAGCGCAGCTAGCTAGCACCAGATGCTAACAACAACACGTAAGGTGTGCCTCGCTTGCGCGAGTCGCGCCACACATACACACTCCCTCCCGGTCCTCCCGATGGCCAGTCCGGGCCTGCCAGTGAGCGTGGAAGTGTGGTCTGCCACAAGCGGGCGGCAGGAGCGGGGCTGTCAGCATCAGCTTGTCGATGGTATTTTACACTCGATGCGCTCTGAAACTACGGCGGCCGAGGGCAAAAAATACACATGCGTTAATCGCGTTAAAATAATTAGTGGCGTTAATTTTTTTTTGCGTTAACGCGTTATTAACGCGTTAACTTGACAGCCCTAATATTTAATAAACAATAACCACTGTGTCTCTTTTATTGGGTACACCTTTACAAACTAATGTCATCCTGAAAAACGATTATGATGCCTGTAGTGTTCAGGAGTTGATATGTTCTAGCGTGGAGCTCATTGTTAGTTTATTTCATGACTCTTTTTTGGTGGGTGTTTCCAATATCCTGCCCCCCTTATGCTAGGGAACACATCGGAAACACTTCTATACAAATCTAATGTAGGGCAGTACAATGCCACCGTGACCTCATCACACACAGGACTACATTCCCAGCATCATTATGGGCTGGGTAACGATGTGATGGCAGTGCTCCTCTAACAGGACCACTGGAGTCTGTTCTCTGATTTGCAACAGCCACTTGAAGCTTGCCATTGTGGAAGTCTTTATGCTCATGAACAGCCTCATGCAGATGGAGTTTTAAAAAAAAAATAGCTCTTCAGGCTCTTGGCCCACTTTTTAACAAGAACGCTTAAATAAACAATGTCTGAAATGTTTTAAAGGACTAAAGTCTGTCTCAAACAACAGTCATATGTTTCCAGGTTCTGCTAGCTGCAATGACTCCTCCTGTTCAGACTGGCCATTAAAGAGGCCCTATTGTGTTTTTGTGTTGTTAGCTTTCCCATAGTGTGTTATATAGGTTTTGGTGCATGTAAATGGTCTGCAGAGGCTAAAATCTATTGGACAAATTTGTTTACTTTTGTCACATAAGGACATCGCGATGTAACCCTAAACTTCTATTGGCTAGCGCTCCAACATATTGTACGTGATAGGCTAAGAAGCAGGACATCTCTAAGAGGTTGTCCAATCACAACAGAGCCGGCCAGCTAACCAATCAGAGCAGACTGGGCTCTGGTTTCAGACAGAGGGTGAAAAGAGGTGCTGCAGCACAGGCAGTATGAGAACAATAAAGAGCTTTTTTAACATTAAAGCATGGAGACATGTCCCAGTAGAGACACTACATACTGATATACACCTGAACATCAGCAGGAGAGGACTCTTTAAAGTAGAGACACTACATACTGATATACACCTGAACATCAGCAGGAGAGGACTCTTTAAGGTAGAGACACTACATACTGATATACACCTGAACATCAGCAGGAGAGGACTCTTTAAAGTAGAGACACTACATACTGATATACACCTGAACATCATCAGGAGAGGACTCTTTAAAGTAGAGACACTACATACTGATATACACCTGAACATCAGCAGGAGAGGACTCTTTAAAGTAGAGACACTACATACTGATATACACCTGAACATCATCAGGAGAGGACTCTTTAAAGTAGAGACACTACATACTGATATACACCTGAACATCAGCAGGAGAGGACTCTTTAAAGTAGAGACACTACATACTGATATACACCTGAACATCAGCAGGAGAGGACTCTTTAAAGTAGAGACACTACATACTGATATACACCTGAACATCAGCAGGAGAGGACTCTTTAAAGTAGAGACACTACATACTGATATACACCTGAACATCAGCAGGAGAGGACTCTTTAAAGTAGAGACACTACATACTGATATACACCTGAACATCAGCAGGAGAGGACTCTTTAAAGTAGAGACACTACATACTGATATACACCTGAACATCAGCAGGAGAGGACTCTTTAAAGTAGAGACACTACATACTGATATACACCTGAACATCAGGAGGAGAGGACTCTTTAAAGTAGAGACACTACATACTGATATACACCTGAACATCAGCAGGAGAGGACTCTTTAAAGTAGAGACACTACATACTGATATACACCTGAACATCAGCAGGAGAGGACTCTTTAAAGTATAATAATAATTCTATTCAGAGTTGTCCCTGTAGGGGGGGGGACTCTGTCTGCATCTGTGTCTGAATCAGTGTCTGTATCTGTGTGGTGGTGATGAGTGCTGTGTTCCCCTCCCCCTGGCAGAGTGATGTGGGGGGTCAGCGGACCCTGCAGAGACGCTGGACCACGTTTGCCAAAGCTCAGCTGCTGTGCCAGGCTGACAACGAGCTGCCCTACAACGTGCTCCAGGACATAGACAGCCTCCCCCCAGCAGAGGGCGCTCCGGCAGACGACACTCTGTTTTACGGCATCTTCACCTCCCAGTGGTCAGTGGGCTGGACATCCATACAGTCCTTTCACATGTTCATAACCTGACTTTTCTTTACATAATCTACATTAGGGACATTTGTATCATGCATTCTTTAACATGTCAAAGATGAAAAATAAACAATGAAATCTGCCCCGTCAGACCCCCAAGTAGCTAGGGTTGTGGGGGGCACTTTGGCAACCTAGTAGCGATCTTGCACCCCTCCAGGGTTGTGATCTAATATACCTTTTTGCTTATGTCAAAATGATGCTTGATGCTTATATCATCCAGGACTTCTTCACGTCACTTGCTGTGGACGGGCTTTTTATAACTGAAACCTGGATGTCTGCGGGTGAGTCTGCTGCTTTCACAGAGCTATTGCCTCCGGACTGCAGTTTCATTAATTCTCCCCGGACCACGGGTCGTGGAGGAGGTATAGCGACTGTCTTTAGGAGCAGTTTATACTGCAAACCCACGCCGTCTATCTCATTCTCCTCCTTTTAACTGAGCCTGTTTGAGCTGGGACGGATTCATCCTGTACTGTGTGCTGTGGTCTACCGACCGCCCAAGTACAACAAAGATTTTATAAAGGAGTTCTCTGAACTATTGGCCGGTATCGTGACAAACTATGACAGCGTTTTAATTGTCGGGGATTTTAACGTGCATGTCTGTTGTATCTCTAAACCACTAGCTAAAGACTTTCTTGATGTTCTAGATGCTTTTAACTTCATACAACATGTCTCTGGCCCCACGCAAGAGCATGGGCACACATTAGACCTAGTCTTATCCCATGGTCTGCCCATTTCAAATGTCAATGTGTGTGATGCAGCTTTATCATCAGCTGCATCACCTGCCTGTGCATTTGATTTTATTCTGCCCTGTCATAGTCTTAAATCATGCGCTCCTGTCCGTCACGGTCGTATGATGAAACCTTCCACTAGTTGCTCCCCTGCCTTTGTAAACCTAGCCCAGTCTGGTACCATGTCCTCTGACTCCCTGGACACTGAGCAATTAACCTCAGCCTTTCTCTCTACCTGCACTGGAGCTCTTGACCTTGTTGCTCCCCTGAAACTCATGCGCCCCAGAGCCAAATCTGAACCCTGGCTCAATGACGTCACTCGTGCTGCCAGGCGTGAGTGCCGGCAGGCTGAGCGCAGGTGGAAGAAGGACAAGCTTCATGTAAGTCTTGACATTTTAAAAGAGAGTTGGAGAAAGTATCAGAGCATTGTAAAGGCTGAAAAGATGAGTTACTTTTCTGATATTATTTCTAGTAATTTAAACAAACCTTGTGTTCTTTTTAAAACCATTGATGCTATGTTAAACTCTCCTTTATCCACTTGTATTGAACTGAGGTGTGTGAAACATTTCTCTGCTATTTTATAGACAAGATCTCCACTATTAGAGCCAGTATCTCACCACCCTCTTTTGACCCCTCCATTGACATCACATGCACGGCTGTCTTCCAGCAGTTTGGACCTGTGTTGTTGTCATCTCTCTGTGACATTGTTGCTAAATTAAAACCATCATCTTGTCCCACAGACCCAGTCCCTCCTCGACTTTTTAAAGAGATATGGGACACTATTGGATCTAATGTCCATACAATTATAAATAGCAGCCTAGAGTCCGGTTCTGTGCCAGTTTATTTCAAACAAGCGGTTGTGGCACCCCTGATAAAAAAAAAAAAAAAATCTGGACACTTCTGTCTTCTCAAATTACAGACCCATCTCGAAGCTTCCTTTTATCTCAAAAATATTGGAGAACACCGTACTCCTACAGCTGCAGTCTTTTATACATGCACACACTATTTTTGATATTTTTCAGTCCGGTTTTAAAGCGCTTCACAGTACTGAGTCTGCCCTTCTAAGAGTATTCAATGACCTCCTGGTCACTACAGACTCTGGTGACTCTGCCATCCTTATGCTCTTAGACCTCACAGCTGCCTTTGATACGATTGACCACTCCATCCTTATCTCTGGTCTAGAGCACTGTGTGGGTATCAGGGGCTCTGCCTTAGAGTGGTTCAGGTCCTATTTGTCCCAGAGATCCTTCTCTGTTAGACTTGGTGACTTTGCATCGTCTTCTGCCCCCCTATCCTGTGGAGTTCCCCAAGGTTCTATTTTGGGGCCCATTTCTTTTTCCTTATACCTTCTCCCCCTTGGACTGATTTTTAGAAAACATGGCGTTTCCTACCACCTTCATGCGGACGACTCCCAAACCCCTAAAACAAAACACCAGCTCTCTGATGCCCCTGGTTCACTGTCTTAATGACATACAGGCCTGGATGGCGCTAAACTTTTTAAACATAAATGAGAGCAAAACAGAGGTCATTGTGTTTGGGCCAAATAGTGATGTCCCTTCCATTGACCTGGGTTCCCTGCAACTGTATGCAAAACCCATGGTCACTAATCTGGGCGTCAAAATCGACAGTGCTTTTAAACTAGATAAACCGATAAACTCTGTGGTTGAGTCCAGTTTTTATCACCTGAGGCTCCTGTCCAAAATTAAACCGGTTTTTATCCTTTTTAGACTTTGAGCGTGTAATTCATGACTTTGTTTCAACTCGTTTAGATTACTGTAATGCACTTTATGCCGGCCTAAACCAGACCTCGCTGGCACGCCTGCAGCTGGTACAAAACGCTGCGGCTCGGCTGCTTACTGGAACACGCAAGCATGAGCACATCACACCTATTCTGGCTTCCCTCCTCTGGCTTCCCTCCTCTGGCTTCCCTCCACTGGCTTCCCTCCACTGGCTTCCCTCCTCTGGCTTCCCTCCTCTGGCTTCCCTCCTCCTCTGGCTTCCCTCCTCTGGCTTCCCTCCACTGGCTTCCCTCCTCTGGCTTCCCTCCTCTGGCTTCCCTCCTCTGGCTTCCCTCCTCTGGCTTCCCTCCACTGGCTTCCCTCCTCTGGCTTCCCTCCTCTGGCTTCCCTCCTCTGGCTTCCCTCCTCCTCTGGCTTCCCTCCACTGGCTTCCCTCCTCTGGCTTCCCTCCTCTGGCTTCCCTCCTCTGGCTTCCCTCCTCTGGCTTCCCTCCTCTGGCTTCCCTCCTCTGGCTTCCCTCCTCTGGCTTCCCTCCTCTGGCTTCCCTCCACTGGCTTCCCTCCTCTGGCTTCCCTCCTCTGGCTTCCCTCCTCTGGCTTCCCTCCTCTGGCTTCCCTCCTCTGGCTTCCCTCCACTGGCTTCCCTCCTCTGTCTTTCTGTCCATTTTAGAGTTCATTTTAAGATTCTATTGTTTGTTTTTAAATCTCTTAATGGGCTGGCCCCTCAGTACATCTCCGACCTCCTAAAGGTGTACACCGCCTCAAGGGCTTTGAGGTCGGCTGATCAGCTGCTGCTGGTAGTCCCTAAAACCAGGAAAAAGACCAGGGGAGACCGAGCCTTCTCAGCGGTAGCCCCCAGGCTCTGGAACGACCTGCCCCCCCCATGTCAAATTGCCGCCCACCCTTCAAACTTTGAAGTCCCGCCTAAAGACCCACCTCTTTTCCCTCGCTTTCGAGTCAGTCTGAGCTGTTTTATCCATTTGTATGCTTTTACTGTCTGTCCATAGCCTATGTACCGTGTATTCATTCTTATCCTTTTATCTTTTCTTATGTGTGCCTTTTATCTATTATTGTAATATTATATTTTATTATAATGTTATGTTTGAGGTAAACCCTCTGTTTTTATGATGTGCTATACAAATAAAGTGGATTGGATTGGATGAAGCACAACTGATCCATGACAAATGTTCTGCACTCGTTCTTTAGGTGGGGTGAAGACCGAGTGTTTCTTGAAGTGTCACAGCAGTGTGAGACAGCAGAGTCACCCCTGTAGGAGCAGATAGCAGCAGTAGATGATTCTACACTAGCAAATGCCCTGATAACATTCACAGCGGCTCTTTGGGACAGTGGCTTTGGCAATGCTAGCTAGTGCTGAACAGTTAAAGTAAAGATTCCTTTCTTAATCACAATCACACCTCCTGAGATGGAAGTTTTTCAAATGTGATCCATAGCATGCATTTAAATATGTCTGCGGTCGTTTTAGATTTAGCTGCTACACGGAATTATGGGATGGCATTATCTTTGATAGATACGAAAGGAAGTAGCTTTCCTCAGCATTTAGACAATTCCACCAACTTCACTCAGTTAGAAACATTCCTCAGCATAAAAGACTGTTCCACCACAGTCCTGATCATAAATACAGACAGTCTCGAATGATTTGTGCTTTTTGAGTACACGGAGAGGTGTCATTTAAATGGGATCGTACAGAATCTTACATGTTGTAGAAACACTGGGAAATTCATGCATTTAGCAACATGTGTATTCCAGGGTTCTTACGGTCAATAAAAACCTGGAAAAGTCACCAAAAAAAAGCTAATTCCAGGCCCTGGAAAAGTTATGGAAAACAATATTTTTCCCAAAGTTTTGGAAAAGTCATGGAACTGTAACTAAAGTTGCATCAAATATAATTTATATTTTATCTAATCGCCGAAATAGTAATACTATAATGATAATAAATACGTAAAATGGCATTTAACTGTCGAGGTGTTTTGCTGGTGAGAGATTTGAGTTGCTTTAGCGTGTAGAAGCTAGTAAGCCTATTGGATTTGTTTTAGATAGGCACAACATGTTTCATATGCAGACCTTATTTTCCTGTTCCATGTTCAAATAAACCATTTTCAGTGGTACGCTGAGAAAGAGTCATCTTTTGATCATGGAAAATGAGATGAAGGTCCTGGAAAAGTCATGGAAAATCATTGGTGAAAAAGTGTATGAACCCTGGTATTCCAAAGCTTGAGGCAGAGCTATACACCTAAGGAAACACCAACTGTTGTATTACATCTAACTAACTCAGTGTATAGAGAGAGAAACCAGGCATGTTGAAAGAAGCATTGAAGATAATATAAAGTGTATGTCAGGTTTTGCTTACTCTTGTTGAGCGGTGCTTTCGGTCACAGTTATCTAACGGAGTCTTTCATGTTTTTCCCTCCATTACCTAGGTCTGTGAACTCCGCACGCTCAGCAGTGTGCTCATTCCGCCTGGCTGACATCAAATCAGTGTTCTCTGGGAACTACAAAGTCCTGAACAGGGACACGCTACAGTGGAGCACACGGGTTCAAGAGAAGGTTGCCAATCCAGGAGAGGTAAACACTCTCTGATCATATGAATATGGAACAAGGATAGAACCTCGCTCATGCAGAGGAACATTATTACTGAAACAGTTGTGCAGCAGCTTCAATACAGAGCTGGAAAGAGTCAAATGATAAGGAGTGCAAATAAAAGTAATGTGATGCGCAGCCATGTGACTGCTGTCGTTTGTGTACAGCCTTATATTGGCTTTTTATTCTGGAGATTACATTAAGGCTCCACAAATGATGAAGGGGTGTTAATATGTGGAGATTATCCTGCTGAACAAAATGTGTAAGTACCATAAACATCAGATTGCCTTATTTTGCCATATTTTCTTCAAAATGATCAAATCCAACAGAAAGATCCCATTGCTTTTTGTCGTTGGAGCCCTTGCGATGCTATCTTCTGAGTTAAATCAAAAAATAATCTCAATTCGTTTTTCTATTTCAAATCGTGCATCCCTTAAAAACCATTTGAATTAAATTGGATTAAGCAGTTGAATTGACCTGCATGTAAGATATTCATTTCACATTCATATTATAATTAGATGTGACCCAGTGTGTATCTGTATTTCTCTCTCCCTGCCTGTGTCAGTGTGGCCTGCACAACGCCTCGGACAACGCGCTGCGCTTCGTCAAAGATAACTTCCTGGCAGACGACAGCGTGCGGCCGGTGGGGAGGAGTGTGACGGTGGTGTCCGCTGAGCACAGCTACACACACCTGAGGGTGCAGAGGGTGCAGGGCGCCGGCACCCGGAGCTACACCGTGCTGTTCCTGCTCACAGGTCAGCCCCCCCAGCAGGACCCTGTCATTATAATGTTTGATTTTTCTGGGAGAAGTCAACTCCAGTCTCCTTCCATTCAAATGTGCCCTCACCCAGGTGTGCTGAATGATGAATCCACTTGATAATGTTGTTGTTGTTTTATTATTAGCATAGGTAAACACAAGGGCTGCCACCAAAACAAAGCTAAAGGAGGAAGAAGTGTAGCAGTTGAGAAATGGAGGTACTGGTATAAGTTTAACAAAGTCAACTGGTTATTATCCAGAACATCAGTGATTATCATTACAGGAGAGTATTGATGGTGAGTTTGTTTTCCAGTCCAGAACAGTGTAACTTTAAAGAAGCGCTTCACTGACCCTAAAACAGGACGTTTTCTTCTTCTATTCTCTGTCGCTCTTTCAAAAATATATATATTTTGTGGAAAAAACCCTACATACATAACATATACTTGTAAAAAGTGACTCAAAGTAAAATCATAAAAAACCACTCCAAAATATGCTGATGGTAGGAGATTGACCGCATTTGAACAGTGTGATAATAATACATTTTATTTATATAGCGCTTTTCTACAACTCAAAGACGCTTTACAGTATGAGGGAGGGTAGACAAACAAGGACAGGCAAACAAAAACAGAAAAGGCAGTCAAGAGGAAGTTCATTGAGAGGGGGGCTTATGGGTAGACAGAGTTGAAGAGATTGGTTTTGAGGTGGGACTGAAAGACTGTGAGGGACTCAGAGTCACGGAGATCTTGGGGGAGGGAATCCCAGAGCCTAGGAGCTGCCACTGAGAAGGCTCTGTCCCCAAAGCTACAGAGTGTGGATGTGGGAATGGATAGGAGTCCGGCTGCGGTGGATCTGAGGGACCGTGGGGGTTTATAGGGGGTGAGAAGGTTTGTGAGATATGGGGGGGCCAGATGGTGGAGTGCTTTGTAGGTGAGGACCAGAATGTTGTAGTTGTTGCGATGGGAGACAGGAAGCCAGTGGAGGTCTTTGAGGACTGGGGTGATGTGATGCCCCAGTCCTTGCAGGTCTCCCTTGAAAAATAGATCTATGATCTCAATGGGACCAATCTGGTTAAATAAAGGTTTGAAATGAAATGAAATTAATGCCATGATTTGGTATGCGTGAGGAGACGTGCAGCTGCATTTTGAACCCGTTGGAGTCCATTGAGGGATATAGTGCTGATGCCGTAAAGAAGTGAGTTGCAGTAGTCAAGGCGGGAGGAAATGAAGGCATGGATTAGTCGTTCGGCTGCGGGGCGGGTGAGAGAGGGTCGGATTTTTGCAATATTGCAGAGGTGGAAAAATGATGTTTTGACTGTTTGGTGGATGTGAGGTTCGAGGGAGAGGGTGGGGTCAAAGATTACGCCAAGGTTACGTGCCTGATTGGAGGGGGAAACAGTGGTGCCATCGATGGTGAGTGTTATGTTAGTGACCTTGCTGAGGGTGGATTTAGAGCCGATTAGGAGGAGTTCTGTTTTGTTGCTGTTCAGTTTGAGGAGGTTGTGTTGCATCCAAGTTTTAATATCTGTCAGACAGGAATCGATGTGGGTGAGGGGTGGGTTATGGAGGGATTTGGTGCTGAGGTAGATCTGAGTGTCATCAGCATAGCAGTGGAAGTCCAGGTTGAAGTAGGGATGCATATCGTTGACTTTTTTGCGATACCGATACCGATACCACTGAACGATACCGATACTCAACCGATACATATCGTGATACTTTCATGTTGCATAAGGGAAACATTTTATCATCCCGCAATTACTCCCATGAAGCGCTTTATTATATAGTTAACATGTCAAATGAATATTAAATTCAATTGTGGGACTTGGACCTTTTAGTACTGAACAAATAATGAATAACACGTTATCTATGAAGAAAACTGATTCTGCAATATCATTTATAACAACCATCAGGCGGGAATAGCACATCTTGTCAATGGAAAAATAAAATAGCACCAGTATAATCAATATTCAACCTGAGATTCAACTGACCAGAGAACACATAAAGGATCATGAGATCTCGGCATTGCACATAAAACAAATAGCATCATTAAAATCAACATTTGCCTGATGAAAGAAAACAAATCCCATCACAGTTCAGTTTTGTGCATTCATCTTCAAGAAGATGAGCATATCTGCTCTCTCTGGATCCAAACGGGCCCTTTCACAACGTAGGATATCACCTGCTAAACTGAACACTCTCTCGCTTGGCACGCTGCTTCCCTGAACACAAAGGTACTTGGTTGCCATACGAGACAGCATTGGTTGGAGATTGGATGTGTTGCCACCTTTCCCAGAAATAAACTTCTTGCAGTGGTTACAGACCCCACCATTCAGACTGGCAGTGGTTACAGACCCCACCATTCAGACTGGCAGTGGTTACAGACCCCACCATTCAGACTGGCAGGGTTACAGACCCGACCATTCAGACTGGCAGGGTTACAGACCCCACCATTCAGACTGGCAGTGGTTACAGACCCCACCATTCAGACTGGCAGTGGTTACAGACCCGACCATTCAGACTGGCAGGGTTACAGACCCCACCATTCAGACTGGCAGTGGTTACAGACCCCACCATTCAGACTGGCAGTGGTTACAGACCCGACCATTCAGACTGGCAGGGTTACAGACCCCACCATTCAGACTGGCAGTGGTTACAGACCCCACCATTCAGACTGGCAGTGGTTACAGACCCGACCATTCAGACTGGCAGGGTTACAGACCCCACCATTCAGACTGGCAGTGGTTACAGACCCCACCATTCAGACTGGCAGGGTTACAGACCCCACCATTCAAACTGGCAGTCATATGCAGCCACACTTTAGATTTTTAAAGTCTAAGTGACTTGGTTGCGGAGTTTCACTGCGAAATTGACATCGTAATTCCGACGGTTTGGGCACAAGTTTAAGGATATTATGCCTCACTTTTATAAAAAAAAAAAAAAAAAAAAGTATCGAAAACCGGATCTGATTTCGGTACGGTATACCGTAGCCACCAGTAACCGGTATTTCGGTAATACCGGGAACCGGTATGCACCCCTAGGTTGAAGTGGCGGAGTATCTGACCGAGGGGGAGGATGTAAATGATGAAGAGGAGGGGGCCAAGTACTGATCCTTGAGGAACGCCTTGAGTGACTGAGGCTGTGGCAGAGGAGTGGTTGGGGAGGGAGATGAAGTGGGATCGATCAGTGAGGTAGGACTGGAGCCATCTGAGTGCAATACCTTCAATACCAATGTCCCTGAGTCGGGTGAGCAGGATGTTGTGGCTCACGGTATCGAAGGCTGCACTCAGGTCGAGGAGGATGAGAATATTGAGGGAACCAGTGTCAGCAGAGGTGAGGAGGTCATTGAGGACTTTGACGAGTGCCGTTTCTGTACTGTGGTGAGGATGAAATCCAGACTGAAGGGGTTCGTAAAGCTGGTTGCTTTGGAGATGGCAGTGAATTTGTTTGGCTACAATGCGTTCAAGAGTTTTTGAGAGGAATGGTAGGTTGGAGATGGGGCGGTAATTAGTGAGGGAGGATGGATCAAGTCCGGGTTTTTTGAGGCAGCAGTTTTGAAGGCAGAGGGGACGGTTCCATGGGACAGCGAGGAGTTGAAAAGGTTAGCAAGATAGGGGCAGAGGACGGGGAGGCAGGACTTCAGGAGAGGAGTGGGTAGAGGGTCAAGGGAGCAGGTTGTGGGATTTGAGGAACCGATCAGATGGAGTGGGGTAACCAGGTTGAACCGGAGTCAGGAGGTCAAGGGAGATGGGGGAGAAGTGGTGGAGGTTGGGGGAGATGCTTGTATATCAGATGGAGTTGAGAAGGAGTGGCTAATGGCGTTAATTTTGTCTGCAAAAAATTGGAGGAATGAGCTGCAAGTAGCGGAAGTAGAAGTAGGGAGGTTATCATATATATTTACTGTCCTAATGTGCACAATGTAGTGACTGCTTTTTCGTCTTTTGTTTTCTTAGTTATGTTCTCTGTATTTTATATGTTTGTGTTATGTGTTATGTGTAACGTTGCTGCCTTCTTGGCCAGGTCAGCATTGAAAATGAGATTTTATCTCAATGTTTTTATCTGGTTAAATAAAGGTTAAATAAAATAAAAAATATCAGCACGGGGTTTGAAGAGCTTGTTAACTGTGGAGAAGAGGGTCCTGGGGTTACGGGAGGGGTCAGTGAAGATGTTGGAGAGGTAGGCAGATTTAGCGGCAATAAGAGCATCTTTGTATGCATTGAGATGGAGTTTGTAGCTTATGTGATGGACTGTGAGGGATGATTTCTTTGAAAGACGTTCAAGTTGGCGGCCTCGCTGCTTCATTTTACGGAGTGCGGGTGTGAACCAGGGTGAGGAGGTCTTGAAAGTGACAGTTTTATTTTTGAGGGGGGCTAAAGTGTTGAGGGAGGTGAGTAGGGTGGAGTTGAGGTGGTTGAGCAGATCATCAGGTGAGCTGAGGGTTGCGTCCAGGGGGAGATTAGACGATAGCAGTTCGGAGAGATGGTTATGGTCAATGGAGTGTAGATTACGGAATGTGATGTTTCTGGGTGGGCAGGGGTTTCGGGTGGGGGAGGCAATGGTGAATTGTATGAGTTTGTGGTCGGAGAGGGGAAATGGGCAAGGGTGGAGGTCAAGCACTGGGAGGTTGGTAGAGCAGACGAGATCAAGGATGTGTCCTTTGTCATGGGTGAGGAAGGTGACATGTTGGGTGATAGAGAAATTGTCCAGTAGGGTTGTGAATTTGGATTTGCAGGTGGGTGAGTCAATGTGAATGTTGAGGTCACCAAGTAGTAACAGACGTTGAGAGAGGGATGAGGCAAGTGTGAGGAATTCAGTGAAATCAGAGAGGGATGAGGTTTAGGAGGCCGGTAGATGAGGATGACTGTCAGTGAGGGAGGGGCTTTGAAGGCAATGAATTCAAAGGATGATACTGAGGTGAGGGTGAGTTCTGTGATCTGGATGTTCTGGTTGTGGATTACAGCAAGGCCACCACCACGGCGGGAGGGGCGGGGTTTGGTGATGTATTTAAGTTTTATATTATATTTGTGTGATGACCTCTGTAAGCATGAATTCAGTGGGGGAAGTGTCGACTTGTATATGTATAATATAACATGTATGTATAATGTATAAATGTGTCCACTAACACTGTTTCAGAGTCGGGGTACCTTCACAAAGCGGTGCTGCTGCAGGGCGGGGCCCACGTCATAGAGGAGGTGCAGGTGTTTGAGCAGCCTCAGCCAATCAAGAGCCTGAAGCTGTCCACAGCCAAGGTACACTCTGAGGGACACACTGAGGGACACTGAGGGACACTCTGAGGGACACTCTGAGGGACACACTGAGGGACACTCTGAGGGACACACTGAGGGACACTCTGAGGGACACACTGAGGGACACTCTGAGGGACACACTGAGGGACACTCTGAGAGACACACTGAGGGACACTCTGAGGGACACACTGAGGGACACTCTGAGGGACACTCTGAGGGACACACTGAGGGACACTCTGAGGGACACTCTGAGGGACACTCTGAGGGACACACTGAGGGACACTCTGAGGGACACTCTGAGGGACACTCTGAGGGACACTTTGAGGGACACTTTGAGGGACACTCTGAGGGACACACTGAGGGACACTCTGAGGGACACACTGAGAGACACACTGAGGGACACTCTGAGGGACACACTGAGGGACACACTGAGGCACACACTGAGGGACACTTTGAGGGACACTCTGAGGGACACACTGAGAGACACACTGAGGGACACTCTGAGGGACACTCTGAGGGACACACTGAGGCACACACTGAGGGACACTTTGAGGGACACTCTGAGGGACACTTTGAGGCACACACTGAGGCACACACTGAGGGACACTCTGAGGAACACACTGAGGGACACACTGAGGCACACACTGAGGCACACACTGAGGGACACACTGAGGCACACACTGAGGCACACACTGAGGCACACACTGAGGGACACACTGAGGCACACACTGAGGGACACTCTGAGGAACACACTGAGGGACACACTGAGGAACACACTGAGGGACACTCTGAGGGACACACTGAGGCACACACTGAGGCACACACTGAGGGACACTCTGAGGAACACACTGAGGGACACACTGAGGCACACACTGAGGGACACTTTGAGGGACACTCTGAGGGACACTTTGAGGGACACACTGAGGCACACACTGAGGCACACACTGAGGGACACTCTGAGGGACACTTTGAGGGACACACTGAGGGACACACTGAGGGACACACTAGGCTTGTTTGAGATGAGCTGCGGCTCGCCTCGAAAGTAGACGAGAATAGCCGATTGCAGCCGGGGGAGGTCTCAAAAAGCTCGCCTGAAGTCGGACAACTCGGAGTCGGCTTGACTCGGTTTGCAAAGGCGGAAATTGCGTTGGCGTTCTTCGTTGCAGATGAAGTGGATGCAATAGAAATCCCACAATTATGATATCACTACAAATGAATGACTCAAGTGTCTGTTCATTTTAAAACAAATCAATACAAGGGGGGTTGAATCCTACATGTAAAAGACAGAATCACTTATTACTTTTCAAAACTACTTCCGTCAGTGGTCTTGACCGGTTTGCATTTATAAAGAATGCACACATGTGTTTAATCGTTAATGTCAGATATGTACTAAGTAAATACATTTGTTCCTGCTCAAGATTAGATTCAACTTTATTGTTATTGCACAGATTACAGGTACTGAGACAACGAAATGCAGTTTAGCTTCTAACCAGGAGTGCAACAAGCAGTGAAGTGAAAAGTAATGTACACAATGTACAGAATAAAATATAGAATGAATTGAATGATGAATAAACAGTGAGGGGTATGAATACACTAGATCAGGGGTCGGCAACCCCTGGCACGCGTGCCACCGTAACCAGTGGCACACTAGGAATAAGTGGAATAAGTGTGCAAAGTATTAAAAAAATATTTTCGGATCCTGAACGAGACCGCCGCCAGGGCGCGTCTCCCCGTGCACGCAACGCAGCCCCGCTCTCTTTAACTCCAGGCGACTTTCTGCCGCTTTCCTCCTCCGATTGTTTCACCACAGAGGAAAGCACTTCACAAATTGCAGTACCCATAAGGAGCTTTACAAATGCCGCAGTTTTTGCGTGGCTGTGTCTTTAGTTGAAAGCCCAGTGGCGATCTGCTCATCTCTCATTGAAATAATATGCTACAAAGGGGCGGACTGGCCATCTGTGTGTTGAACTTTCCTGTCGGCTCCCAGACCGTAGTCGAGGAAACAGGGGGGATGACTCTCTGTCGTCTCCCAGGGCAGAAGCAACAAGCTTCAGGTTCAATAACCCACTTTAGCTTAAATGACTGGAGAGAGGCGAGCTCTTCTTGGGAGGCCGTTGCATTTATTTAGCTGTTCTTCTGTTTCACAAAACACATCACAGACCTCTGTTTTTCTGCTGCCTCGTTTCACTTCCAGAAACATACACACGCTCGCTCACTCTCGCTCTACCATCCACACACACACATGCACATGCACACCCCTCTCTCTCTCTCTTAAAGGGACAGCGATCTCATCTCACTCTGCATGACCCTAATATCATAACATGTGTGTTCTGGAGAATCACAGAACGGACGATCGTCCTTATTATTATGCCGTTTAAACCAATTATTTAAATTTGTTTATTAAATTCTGCATCAGGTAAGTTGTGCTGACAGGTCCACACACTGCTTCCCCGCAGCGAGGCTCCCCCCGCCCTCCTGTTGATAATTCACGATCGTCGGCACGCTGATAACAATTTTTTTTTGTAATGGCACTTCATATCAAAAAGGTTGCCGACCCCTGCACTAGATATACACAGCAGCCTGTGATCAGTATGAACAGTATGAACAGTGTGTACGAGTACACTAGATATAAACAGCAGCCTATGAGCAGTATGAACAGTGTGTATGAATACACTAGATATACACAGCAGCCTGTGAGCAGTATGAACAGTGTGTATGAATACACTAGATATACACAGCAGCCTGTGAGCAGTATGAACAGTGTGTATGAATACACTAGATATACACAGCAGCCTGTGAGCAGTATGAACAGTGTGTATGAATACACTAGATATAAACAGCAGCCTGTGAGCAGTATGAACAGTATGAACAGTGTGTATGAATACACGAGATATACACAGTAGCCTGTGAGCAGTATGAACAGTATGAACAGTGTGTATGAATACACTAGATATACACAGCAGCCTGTGAGCAGTATGAACAGTATGAACAGTGTGTACGAGTACACTAGATATAAACAGCAGCCTGTGAGCAGTATGAACAGTATGAACAGTGTGTATGAATACACGAGATATACACAGTAGCCTGTGAGCAGTATGAACAGTATGAACAGTGTGTATGAATACACTAGATATACACAGCAGCCTGTGAGCAGTATGAGCAGTGTGTATGAATATGCTAAGATATATAAAGTATGAAAACGGTAAGCAGTGCAAGTATAGTATAACATATATAGATATTAATTTCATTGTGGAACAATGATGAAAGATGTGAATGGAAGTGAAACTGACTCAAAACAACAACACACTTTTGCCGAGCCAATGGAGAGTTTCATCACCAGCACGGGGTAAAACCCACCAATGAGCGCTCAGCTCGAGATACCAGCGAGTCGTTTCCCATCAAGCATTTCGCTCTTCTGCAGCTCGTGGAGAGAAACTGCTCCGCCTCGCTCTCCAGGCTGCCGGCGTCTTTGTCCCGCGAGATTTCAACGTCTCATGTAGTCGAGCCTCCAGAGCAAGTCGAGCCTCCAGAGCAAGTCGAGCCTCCAGAGCAAGTCGAGCCTCCAGAGCAAGTCGGACAAAATGACTAACCATCATGCAACGCACTAGCAAGACGGCGGTCGCAATTGCGCAGGTCTGCGTTGGTCTCGCTCATCTCAAACGAGCCTACTGAGAGACACTGAGGGACACTCTGAGGGACACACTGAGGGACACACTCTGAGGGACACTGAGAGACACACGGAGGGACACACTGAGGGACACGCTGAGGGACACGCTGAGGGACACACTGAGAGACACACTGAGGGACACTCTGAGAGACACACTGAGGGACACACTGAGAGACACACTGAGGGACACACGGAGAGACACACTGAGGGACACACTGAGGGACATACTGAGGGACACACTGAGGGACACTCTGAGAGACACACTGAGAGACACACTGAGGGACACACTGAGAGACACACTGAGGGACATACTGAGAGGCACACACTGAGGGACACTCTGAGGGACACACTGAGGGACACACTGAGAGGGACACACTGAGGGACACACTGAGGGACACTGAGGGACACACTGAGAGACACACTGAGAGACACACTGAGGGACACACGGAGAGACACACTGAGAGACACACTGAGGGACACACTGAGGGACACACGGAGAGACACACTGAGGGACACACTGAGGGACATACGGAGAGACACACTGAGGGACACACTGAGAGACACTCTGAGAGACACACGGAGGGACACTCTGAGGGACACTCTGAGAGACACACGGAGGGACACACGGAGAGACACACTGAGAGACACACTGAGGGACACACTGAGGGACACTCTGAGGGACACTCTGAGAGACACACGGAGGGACACACTGAGGGACACACGGAGAGACACACTGAGGGACACACTGAGGGACATACGGAGAGACACACTGAGGGACACACTGAGAGACACTCTGAGAGACACACGGAGGGACATACGGAGAGACACACTGAGGGACACACTGAGGGACACACTGAGGGACACACGGAGAGACACACGGAGGGACACTCTGAGAGACACACGGAGAGACACACTGAGGGACACACTGAGGGACACACTGAGGGACATACGGAGAGACACACGGAGGGACACTCTGAGAGACACACGGAGGGACACACGGAGAGACACACTGAGGGACACACTGAGAGAGACACTGAGGGACATACTGAGGGACACTCTGAGGGACACTCTGAGGGACACTCTGAGGGACACTCTGAGGGAAACTCTGAGAGACACACTGAGGGACACACTGAGGAACACACTGAGGGACACTCTGAGGGACACTCTGAGGGACACTCTGAGGGACACTCTGAGGGACACTCTGAGAGACACACTGAGGGACACACTGAGGAACACACTGAGGGACACTCTGAGGGACACTCTGAGGGACACTCTGAGGGACACTCTGAGGGACACACTGAGGAACACACTGAGGGACACTCTGAGGGACACTCTGAGGGACACACTGAGGGACACTCTGAGGGACACTCTGAGAGACACACTGAGGGACACTCTGAGGGAAACTCTGAGAGACACTCTGAGGGACACTCTGAGGGACACACTGAGGGACACACTGAGGGACACTCTGAGGGACACTCTGAGGGACACTCTGAGGGACACTCTGAGGGACACTCTGAGGGAAACTCTGAGAGACACTCTGAGGGACACTCTGAGGGACACACTGAGGGACACACTGAGGAACACTCTGAGGGACACTCTGAGAGACACTCTGAGGGACACTCTGAGAGACACACTGAGGGACACTCTGAGAGACACACTGAGAGACACACTGAGGGACACTCATCCAAGTTTCAAGATAGCATTGGAATCTAGATGTGCCACAACGATTTATTAACGATAGTGAATTGTCTCATCATAAGCTTGTCCTCCTGAGGTTAAAGTACACGCAGTAATGCTGGTTAGAAGATGTTGAACATTTGGACACTAAGGAACTTCCAGGCGTGCATACATTTAAAAATGTTGATTCATTCGTTCTTAAAATACAGAAACACAAGCTCATCATTACAGCCTAACTGCCGGCTAGGACTAATAAGTAACCATCTGTTTACACTCTTAAACTCTGATGCTAGTCTTACTGGCCTGGGCCCATCTCAGGATGAGTGTTCTGTTGTAACGGCTTGACTCTCTTCTCTCTGCAGGGTATGATCTATGTGGGCTCCTCAGAGGGGGTGGTGAGGGTTCCAACAGCAAACTGCTCCTTCTACTGGACCTGTCCTCAGTGTGTCCTGGCCCGGGACCCCTTCTGTGGCTGGGACCCGGCCAGCAGGGCCTGTGTGGGGGCCTCCAACAGCCAGGCCAGTCTGTGAGTGCCAAGATACTTTCAATGTCATGTTGGAAGGGGGGGATTATGATGATTTATGATACTGTGCTTTTTAATAAAGAACGTCTTAAGGCTACATATTGCATTAAATGTCATTGTACACACTAGTAACAACAATATGTTTAAATCAGTCTCTGTCCCACTATGACCATGTGACTGTTCTCCGTCCTCAGAGGCCAGGATGTAGACAGAGGGAATGTTGAAGAGGCGTGCAACAGTGTTTCATTCTCACACAGAGCCCGGTTCAGTCCAAACAAACTGCCTGCAGGTGAGTCACTTGTTTGAGTCTATGGCAGGTTAAACACTATATAAAACATTATTCATAGAAAATCTACATTTCCCATTAGATTATTCTGATTATCCCACGAAGGCTGGTAGTTTATTGATATCTGGTGACGCTGTGAAGAGAATATGGAGGGTCTTGGTGTTTTGTGGGATTTGCTCAAGCCCCCAGGAAAGGGGGACTAAAGCTATTTTTTGTGGGGTGGCCAAACGGCAGTACTACAACTTCCGTGTCAGTTTGTGACGTCACTGGGCCAAAAAAGAGTTTCCCATTGACTTACATTGGGAAAGAGACAACATTTTATTTAGGAAAATCTAATGCAATGCCTGAACACTGTTATAGCCCTTATTAAAATAAATTGGACTTAAAAGTTGTAAAACGCTGGCGGCTATGTGGGAACAAAGAGGCAAATCACACACACATTATCTGGGAATGTGATAAACTAAATACTTAACGAGAAAATGTGCATGCTGCTATCAGACACATTCTGGGTTATTCAATACCCAAGGACTGAAAAATGTTATACCTTTTGAAATACAAATGATTGTGTGTTTGATAATGATAGATACTTATCTAAGATGCTGTAAATGCAAGCAAGAAAGCAATAACAAGAAACTGGTCTAAGGCTGAGCCCCCTACTAAACAGCATGGATATTATAAGCTAGGTATATATATTGGAAACAATTACTTAACACCTTGGAGTTAGAGAAAATATTTTGGTTAGTAAATAGAAGAAATAGATATTTTACGACAAATGTCTAAGGCAAACCTTAAGATTTATATTCCCTCCATTCATTTGGCTGAGCTGAGATCGATGGATCGGAGGCGGGGCTTAAGGGAAACTCAAGTGCACATGCTCTATGGAGCCACATACGTGAGTCACTCAGGTCATTTTGGCTGCATGGCCACTGAGCACCTTACATAGGATTAAACAGGGCCCCGCCTTTCAACAGCCTGAGTATTCTGCCCCCCCCCCCCCCCCCCCCCTGGTCCTCAGGTGAGCTGGTGTCGGTGTCTCTGAACGAGGTGGGTGCGTCTGCAGTGTCCCGCAGCGTCCCTGCTGTCCCAGCAGCTGTGGGAGCGTCCCAACAGCCGGCTGACCCCAGACCTGTACCTGATCCTGGGGGACGGCAGCCTGAGCTTTGTGGCCACCCCTGCCACGCTGGGCCCCTACCTCTGCCTGTCCACGGAGAACGGCTACCAGCAGACTGTGGTCATCTACCACGTCAAGCAGGGGAGCGGCCCTGTGGCTCAGACCCCCAGCAGCCACAGCTGGCCCCAGAACCCCCCCATCCCCACCACAGAGGCAGGGGCCCGGCTGCGTCCCTCTGCGGGGCCCGAGAGAACAGAAACAAGTCGAATAGAGACTGAGCCGACACCCACCAGCAGGAACGTGTCCCTGTGGGCGGAGGAGCCTAAAGAGGCGGAGCTCTGGGACAGGGGCCCCCTGCAGGCGGCGCAGGGCCCCTGCTACCTGAAGGAGCTGGTGGTGGTGTCTGTGCTGCTGGTGCTGAGCCTGAGTCTGCTCATCACCATGCTGCTGTACGTCTTCAGACAGCGCTGCCGGAGCCGGACAGCCCCCCAGGCGGGGCCCCCCAGCAGAGACTCTGACAGAAGGACCCCTGTGGAGCAGGAGGGCCTCCAGGGGGGCCAGGTTCTGAGCAAACGTAACGGACAGGGCCGTGGCTTCGCTTGTAACGGGGCCCTCACAGGATCTAACGGACATTTGCCCAACACCCCCATCTGAGCAGTGTTACATCAGAGGTGGGGGGGGGGCGTCAGGTACCAGATCTGTTTGCACAGCCAATGACACGGTACAAATACTGCCGACTCATCCTGATAGGTTGGATCTGGGTCAATAGGATGACAGAAACTCTGTGGTACTTCAGACTGTTACACAGGAATATGCTGTGTGTTCATACACAGAAAGGTGCTGCTGGCCCTTTAAATGTTTTAGGGACCACTCAGTGTTTGATGCAAGGAAAGTGACCACTACGGATACTAATGTTTTTTATGGGCTAATTGCATTTTCAAGAATAAATTCAAAACACACATGAACAGAATATTAGGACATGCTTCTCAGCTGATTTGCTTTGCCAAACACATTTTGGAGCCTGGGTTAGCTCCAGTGAGTCAGTATTGTTTCATCGCTACGTGGTCCGGGTCATATACTCTTTTTATGTGTTGTGTAGAACAGAGGTCAGGCCTGTAGCTTGTTGATGTGTGTGTGTGTTTGTGAGATGGTGTAACGCATCATGTGAACGTGCCTTGGCTACAGATGAGCTGTCGGTCCACTCTACACTGACTTCCTGTGCGTCATACACACCATTTGGATACAACATCAGTAAACATGCAGCTATGATATGCTATCACTCAGATTTTGATGAACTCCAATAAAGAAGTTACATCTGGATTTCTGACTTCACCTGATTTCTGAGGTACAGAGAAACCTGAGGTGCTTTAGATTGCCTTTGTCCCCTGGCTCCCAGACACTGCTCTGCAGTCAGTGAGGAGGGTCAAGAAGAATCATGAAGGAGGAGCGGGTGAGTTGGTCCCTGAAGGCCCCACAGCTTTTTTCTAGAACAAATACAAAAATAAACAAAACTGTTCCTTTCTACAACCTTTTTGTTGAAGCCATGAACCACTCCTTCCCAATTTAGCATCACATTTGACATGGGGTGATTTTATCCTTATCCAATCTACTCTAGTTTGTAAAAGTGAATTACAGTAAATGACTTCTTACTTACAATACGAAATTATTCCGTGATGGCGGGGCCAGTAAAAGATCATTTGAAATATGTTCTCATTTATTCAAATATTGTGTGTAACAGATCTCTTGATTATCGGAACATCTATAATCAAGTGTTCTGGCATAGTTTGGCATATTTAAAGCCCAATGATGTGTCCTGAGGTCCAACGACAGCCAACGGCGCATTTATGTTCTGAAGCATAAAGAACTTCCATTGGGTAGCCAATAAACCACATTTCCTTTGTTTTAGTTCTGAGATTAAAGTCAGAATTCTGAGAACATAGTGTTTTAATAATGTATTATTTGTTGGCAAAGAATTTAAGATCTTTTAAGACTCCTTAAGTCCTTCCCATTTCAGACATGTGAAAGCAGATAAACAGAGAGAGGAAAGACAACAGGTCTTTCAACCACTTGTTGTGTTCTTTTATTGTTCACTGTCTATTTATCCTTTTAGGAATGTGCCATGAGGGACATTTGTGAAACATAGGAATCCTGGCTCTTTAAAGGCAGGGTACCATGTGAAAACAAATAGTCACCAAACATCCCCCCCCCCCCCCCCTCTCCTACTCATCTGACAGACAGCTGCTGAAAATGGGAGAAAGAAGAAAACTAAGAAGAAATGTGTGATCTGTACAGCAGTCCTTAAAGAGACTAAACTAGGACAACATGAGGAGCAGAGAAATCCTACATTTTCAGACTGATCCATTACAAATATGTAATCAATGTCACCCGGCCAGAGCAACTCTTTCTCAGAGGAATGGGTGCTGCATAATATTACTAAAGGAGGTACAAGGACATGAGGTAATCACTAGAAATGATGATGTGAAAAGAACCATCTTCAGAGTAGGGCTGTGTAGTGTTTAGGAGTACTGCTTCCACATACACATCATGAAGGGATGAAGTATTGAGATGCTTTATTCACTTAGTGTGTGAGACAGCAGCTCCCTGCAGGATCACTGATTGACCTTCCTGTGTCCTCAGGTCACATTCGACACATTCCTAACAGGGTTTGGAGGGTTACTTTCAAAATGTAATCTGTTACAATAACCAATTACATGTCAGAAATGTTATCATTAACCTTATCAGAGTAACAACATATAAAAGTAACCTGATTGATTTCCGTTACTTTGCAAACAAGGTCATATAAATAACAATTTTGAAAAATTGGACTTTACTCTATGTAACAATGTAACCTTAGAAAAGAAGAAACCAATATATTTCATATTAAGAAATGTAGTAACAGTATTAGTTTACAAATGCTGTTCACGCTTAATACATTCATCAAAAGCATAGACTACTTTACAATTTCCAGAAAACCCAAAATTGGTAAATGACTGAATGAGGACTAAAAGAGTCAAAAAAAGCCTCTTTTTTTACAGCAGGAACAAAGTGCAATAAATAAACGGAGCTTTCTATGGTGCACACTATACCAGAATATCAAAATAACAATAATATGTTAGCATAGCTAACTAGTTATCAAGGTGCTGCTTGGTGATTTAGCGTATGCTCCCATTTTAGCATTAGGATACTTGTGCAATAAAAGAATAATCCCAATATTAACAAACTTTATTAGCACCTTTCAAACTGAGTTCCACAGTGCTTTCACAGGAGAGCAGAACACATGCAATACATGCAGAAAATGAAATGAACTAAAAACCAGCAACCAAACAAGTAATAAATCACAGAGATCAGAGCCGACTAAAATAATGAAACACAAATCACATGAAATCAATTCTTTAAAAAGTGTGGTCTAAAAAGTGATTTAAAGAGCAGACAGACAGTAACAGACTAACACACATGTGTGAGTTGAGTTTTTATGCTATAATGATATGTAAAATTCATGTAACTAAAATGTGTCAGACATATTTAAAAAAGAAAAGAACATTTTTGTATTCTGCTATCATTAGTGTGAATGTTGTGCAACAGCCTATTGTTTTCTGTCTGATGGAGACTGCATACTGACTTCAACATGTTCCACATCTTTTTTACATTATTGGTGACACATGGTTTTAGTTAAAAAGTTTGCAGTCAAAATATTCTGCTGCTTTCCCAAGCCTTTTTACTTTCTTTTCTCTTCTTAATACACATTCATTCACTACTACTTACATCTAATATGTAACTCCTTCAGCCTATTTTCAGCTGCAGAAACCATTCAACTATTACATTATTCAGCTATTTCAGGACATTGAGGCTATACATTAAACCTTTTCTTTTAAATATTAAGCTTCTTCACTATTTTTCCTACTCTTCCAGTTTAACATTTCACTTTCAAGTTTTCAACAAAGTCATTGCAATGCATTTGAGCTGTAACAATTTGATTCAAATCATTTCACTTTTCTGCATTTCTCCGCTAAGTTCAGCAACACACATTCTTGGTTTTTGTAGCTACAAGCAGCATCTAATCAGAGCAGACATGCCCACAGACAGACAGACAGACTTGCATGTAATATCTTTATTTAACTCCTTCAGCCTAATTCCAGCTGCAGGAACCATTCAAATATCAAATTATTCAGCCTTTTCAACACATGATGGGAAACTTTCAAATGTTTCCAAATATGTTATACTTTTTAAAATATTCAGCTTTTTAAAGTCTTTTTTTTAACATGGAAGTCATTGCAATGCATTTGAGCTGTAACAATTTGATTCAAATCATTTCACTTTTCTGCATTTCTCTGCTAAGTTCAGCAACACACTGACTTGGTCTCTGTAGCTAAAAGCAGCTACCATTCAGCTAATAACATATTCAGCTTTTTCTGCATTTTCAGCTCAATTCAGCCACAAATGTTCAGTTTACAGCATTCACACGCATTTTCTGCAGGAAATGCATTTTCTAGTTAGAATTGTGTTTAGGAAACTAACCACCTAGATGGAATTAATAAAGTAAAATAAATGAAAGAGCTTAAATCCTGTAGAGTTGTTCTTAGTTGTGAAGTTCAAATGTTTCCCTTTTCAAGATGAGAGTATGGATGTGTTAAGGTTTACATGTTATATGTGAGGTCAGAGTGTGAGAAGTTGTTCTGTCTCTACACACTCCCTGCAGTTTAACCACAGAAAACCTGCCGGTGTTTTGGCGCCACCTCATGGACTCGTGATGTCATCTTGAATACTTGTCTGGTCTTTACCTGAGACTGACAGCTGGGGTATGTAATACAGCACCCTCACATCTTACCATTGGAAGATTCTGGGAAGAATGTTTTGGGGTATTGTCACGTTGGTAATCTGCAGAGGTGGGAGAAGTACTCAGGTCTTGTACTTCAGTAAAAGTAGAAGTACTCATGTCTTGTACTTCAGTAAAAGTAGAAGTACTCAGGTCTTGTACTTCAGTAAAAGTAGAAGTACTCAGGTCTTGTACTTGAGTAAAAGTAGAAGTACCAGAGTGTAGGAATACTACTTTCTAGTAAAAGTCATTGCAAATGTTCCTCAAGTAAAAGTAGAAAAGTATCATCATCAAAATATAGTTAAAGTAGCGACAGTAAAAGTAGTCATTGAGCAGATTGGTCCATTTCAGAATAATATATATGATATGTTTTATAATGATTGATCATGAAAGTGTTCTCAAAGCTGGTAAAGGTGCAGCTAGTTTGAATGACTTTGTATACTACAGGGTAGCTTGTGAATTTACTCCAGGTGGAACTAAAGTCTGATTTAACACTTGATTATATTTCACATCATTCATCCACATCTGTAAAGTAACTAAAGGTATTAAATACATGTAGTGGAGGAAAAGTACACCATTTACCTCTGAACTGTAGAGGAGTAGAAGTACACAGTAGCACAAAAATGGGAGTACTCTAAATTGTACTAAAGTACAGTACTGGAGTAAATGTACTTAGTTACTTTACACCTCTGGTAATGTGTTCTATGTGAGGTCACAGTTTGAGATGCTGTTTTAGATACATTTCTCTCTGCAGCTTTAACTCAGAAGGACTCAGAAGAGTTCCACAGCATATACGTTTAATAGCTCCTGTATGTTTTCATAGATTTGACTTTTGTCTTTATCCCTCAGCATCTGTAGGCACTTCACTTAAAAGTAAAGGGAGACATTTCCAAAGAGTTTTGCATATACATTTCATATATTTTCAGCATGCTTGATTAAAATACCTTGCTTCGAATGAGATGCTAAAGGCTGAAACTCAGCGGCATATAAATCTGTATGGTTATTTTTAAGATATCATTCCATATATTTGAATTTCTTAGGGATAATTGTATTCATAATTCTGTATTATTATTATACTGTATGCATGTTTTGGGGTAATGTCACATTGGTCTCAAATATTTTCTTGTTCCTCCCCCTCACTCTAAATTCCATTCACTGTGGCTTTATTGTCTATTCATTATTTAAGGTCTGGCTATTTCCAGATGTAGCCTGTCCTCTTCTCCCTCTTCTCCCTCTTCTCCCTCTCTCCCTCTCTCCCTCTCTCCCTCTCTCCCTCTGTGTGTGTGTGTGTGTGTGTGTGTGTGTGTGTGTGTGTGTGTGTGTGTGTGTGTGTGTGTGTGTGTGTGTGTGTGTGTGTGTGTGTGTGTGTGTGTGTGTGTGTGTGTGTGTGTGTGTGTGGTGTGTGTGTGTGTGTGTGTGTGTGTGTGTGTGTGTGTGTGTGTGTGTGTGTGTGTGTGTGTGTGTGTGTGTGTGTGTGTGTGTGTGTGTGTGTGTGTGTGTGTGTGTGTGTGTGTGTGTGTGTGTGTGTGTGGCCGTAACACTGGCGTTATAGATGTTCGCCTAGGGCGCCAGATCTGGGGGGCGCTGCGCTGGTAGCTCTGGGAGGGAAAAAACTTTTTTGACCGTTGGCGCTCATCCTAATTTTTGGCCTTGATGTAACAACATTCATAATTAAGTAAAGGTAACACCCTTTTCACCCCGGTTACACGTTTCATTTGCCCTGTACGATGGGCACTGTAAGTGATGAAAGTGGGGGATGTTGGCTTATCAGGCGCCCGCAGCTCACAGCCAAAATGCGAGTGAGCGAGGGAGAGAGAGAGAGGGCGCACCGGTACCGGCGCTGTTGTTATTAGAATTTGGTGCTAGCTGCTCTAACGGATATAAGAAGTAGATGTTTCTACAACCAGGGTGGAGAGAGCTCTCCTGTTGGACTGAGAGGCTGATAACTACAGCTCAGTGAGGTAAAGGACTCTGAGTGTTCAGATAGTTCACTTTAGTCTAAGTTATCTCAGTGGGTCTCAAACGGTTTGGTCACCATTTATGTAAACACATATTTCCAAGGCACTCCTTTATAATTATTGGGATAAACAGGTTTGAAATCATTCCAATGTATACTATAGGACAGTAAACCAAAAACATCGTTTAAAACTGGAGAGATAACCAAAAATGCATAAATAAATGTTAACTAGGTAAAATAAGATATGAATGAACAACAAAAATAAAATACGTTATATTTATTTGTTATTGGCTATGGTAGGTTATTGGTTATGTTCACATACTTATTTGATTATTAAAATGTAAACTGATCTTTTTCATATGGGTGTTTAGAGTTGTACCCCCTAGATCTAGTCTCTAGTAATTCTGCTCAAAGTGCACCAGATTGAAGCATTTTACTTTAAAGGTCCCATGTCATGGCCATTTCCACTGATCATAATTCCATTGTTGAGGTCTACTAGAATAGATTTATATTGTGCATTTTTCCAAACTCACATTGGTTTCTCATACAGCATCTCTGTAAACTACGTGTATTCACTGAATTTCACTCTGCCTTTAACGGCTCGTTGTAGCTCCAATAGCTCCAGCCCCCACCCTCCCTGTGAGCACAGTGTGCTCTGATTGGTCGAGACGTTGTGAATCGCGCTGAGCTCCGTGGAGGTGTTGTTTCCTTGTTTAGCATACACAGCCAAACACAGCCAAACTCATCCTGAGCACACACAAAGTCACAGCCGAAGTAAAAACAATAAGTGTGGCTTGATATTGAGTAAGAAAAAGGTTGATAAACGCTGTGAGAATGGGTCTGCAGAGAGAATTGTTATCAGCCTGCAGCCAGGGAGGAGAAATCAGCTGAGCTGCCTGCTCCCTGCACACAGATGTGTGTGTGAGGAAGTCCGTGGATCGGTCAATTTGGACCAATCAGCGGGGGCTTAACGTAACGGCTCCGCGGACGTAACGTAACGGCTCCACGGATTGGTCCATTTTGTTCCGGGTACGGCTTGACATCATGCCGTACCCGGAAGAATCAAATGGACAATGACGTATCTCCAACGAGGCGTTTTGGGGAGGTATTTTCTGTGTTAGAGTTTTACTCGCTACAGGGTGTACTTTGAGGGTTTGTGACTCTGCACACCGTTTACATGCATAAAAACCTTCATAACACACAAGGGGACGGGTCATAACCAGAAAAGCATGACATGTCTCCTTTAAAATGTTCAAACATTTCTTCCCGGGGGAACATACCCCCGGACCCCCCTAGAGGATGTGACGTCCATCCCCCATTATTGCGTATTCCTTGGATACTCTATTGATCTTTAGCTTTTCTATTGTACGATTCTCTGGCTGGGGGGGGGGCGCTGCCAGCTAAAATCTCGCCTAGGGCTGCAAATTGTGTGTGTGTGTGTGTGTGTGTGTGTGTGTGTGTGTGTGTGTGTGTGTGTGTGTGTGTGTGTGTGTGTGTGTGTGTGTGTGTGTGTGTGTGTGTGTGTGTGTGTGTGTGTGTGTGTGTGTGTGTGTGTGTGTGTGTGTGTGTGTGTGTGTGTGTGTGTGTGTGTGTGTGTGTGTGTGTGTGTGTGTGTGTGTGTGTGTGTGTGTGTGTGTGTGTGTGTGTGTGTGTGTGTGTGTGTGTGTGTGTGTGTGTGTGTGTCAAATCCTGCATTAACATTAATGCAGGTGTAAAAAAAGATTGGTTAGTTGGCTCTGTTGTGATTGGTCAACCGCTTAGAGATGTCCCGCCCCTTAGCCTGTAGTACAATGTGTCGGAGTGCTGGCCAATAGAAGCGCAAGCGATACATAGTGATGTCACCATGTTCTGGAAGTAAACAAAGGAGTTGAATGGCATTTCAGAGGGGGTGGGGGGAGACTCCCTCTGAAGGATTTTAACCATTTACATCTACCACTTACATTTACTTTATTACATTCCACCACTGTTAATGGCACGTTTATGAATTCCTCATGACACATCAGGGAACATTTGTCCTGATGTGTCGTGAGGAATTCAACTGAGACTCAACAAATCATATTCAGTGTTGCTGTACTTTTTATGAAGGAGCAGTCTACGTAATAGGAGCTGTGAGCGTGCATGTGAACTGCATCAGACTGCAGTCTCCGACGCTGCAGCTTCATACTATTGGCAGCATCACACACTGCTGCAGAGATCCTGAACACACACACACACACACACACACACACACACACACACACACAGAGTGCCGCAGAGATCCTGAACACACCCTGCAGACCCGATCATCCGGACCAGCAGCCCCACAACACGGACTGTACAGGGCCGGAGCACACGGAGACCCCCAGCTGAGGTAAGACCCCCCTCCACAGCGCGCTCTGTCCCGCAGGAGGACCGGCAGATAACCGGGCAGGGACAAGTGTCATTGAACACAGCGCGGAGGACGAAACAGTCTGCAGTCTGCTGTCCTGCAGCATCACTAGTGTGTGTGGACATAGCCTAGGTGTGGGGACACTGTCCAAAACATCCTCCTGGATCTGTGTCACTGCGTCCCAGCAGCATCCTGTCTGAGTTATCGTGACAAACTAAGGATAGTCTGCTGTCTGGGGTTAACGGGAGAATGCTCCGGTGTGTTTCTGTGTTTGTGTCTCTCTGCCCTCTCCTCATGTATCAGACGTCCTGAGTTCTGCTGACTCAGCGCTGCTAGGCTCCGCTGCGGACATCCCGTGATCAGCACCTTTATTCTAGACAAGGTGCACGCGCATCACGGCCCGACCCATCTCCATCAGCTGCAGCCTCAGAACACAGGTGGGAAGAATACTCAGATCTTATAATTAAGTAAAAGTACTAATACCGCGGTGTAGAAATACTCAGTTACAACCTGCATGCAAAATGTTCCTATGTAAAAATACCAAAAATATCAAATCAGAAAGTAGGCCTACTCCTGATCCAAAGTTACCATTTTTGGAATAATATAATATCACTGGAGTTGAAATGGTAATGCATTATTGTCTATCATTTTAATTATGCAGTATTAGTTGATTTTATTATTGTATTGATATAATAAAACTGCAAAAGTATCGTGTAACTTGTGTTGTGAATAATTGTAGTGAACAAAGTACAATATTTGCTGCCAAGATTGATTAGAGTAGAAGTATATAGTAGCATAAAATGAAAATACTCAAGTAAAGTACCTCAAAAATGAGTACCTGAGTAAATGTACTGAGTAACTTTCCACAAAGGAAAATAAATAACCTCTGCACTAACTTGACAACACAGGGCAGGCAATAAGAAAACATTTAGCAGCTTGATGACACCCAAAATAATCACTTTGACGTCACATGCACAGCTTCTAGAAACAGCTCTGCATCGTACAGTAGGCTGTGTGAGGAATTCAACCCCTCAACTTCCTGCATGGACGCCATGTGATGCTCTCTGCTGGGAGAGGCTGTTGTTTGTGGATTATGACGTTATTGATGTCAGACATCTGTCAGTGTTGTTCGGGAGGAGTATTACGTTTTTTGGCTCATTTAATTTCCTATTATATTGCATATATGTTCGCCTTTTGCTTATTATTAGCCTGTCAAATAAACTAATCTGACATAATACACACAACATAAAGCTGAGTAATCTTCTTCAATGCCTTTATCTTTGTTGAAATTCTATTTACAAAGATAAAGGCATTTACAGTATGAATAATATGCACCAAAAAGGAAATAAATCTAATAGGCGCCATCTGTAATGTAATCTGTAATCCATTGGACTGTTTACATCCGTGACATCACCTCCTAACACTCACACTTCTGTTGGCTAGCGCTCCAACACATTGTACCTGATAGGCTAAGGGGCGGGACATCTCTAAGCGGTTGACCAATCACAACAGAGCTGGCCAGGTAACCAATCAGAACAGACTGGGCTCTGGTTTCAGACAGAGGGTGAAAAGAGGTGCTGCAGCACAGGCAGTATGAGAAGAATAAAGAGCTTTTTGAACATGAAAGCCTGGAGACATGTCCCAGTAGAGACACTAAATACTCATTTGAATCTGAACATTTGTAGAATATGTCCTCTTTAAGAGTTATGAAGTTGAGACAGTAACGTCCAACAAGGAAAATTGCAATAATCTGATATATTCTCTGAATCACGCTTTCACATTGTTGAAAGGGTGTTTGCAGCACCTTTTCTATATTCTGCAGATGTGTTGTCAAGTTGGTGTAGATGTTTTTTTCGTTTGTATTTACGACTTTGTGCTTTTAAATATGTATCAATTCTGAAGCTGGAGCACGTTACCCCTAAAGGAAATGTGTCAGGCCGCTGCAGATCCTGTGTCAGCCAACATTATATTCACTCTCAGATCAATGCTGGAACAGAAACAGTAAATAATGTTTAAGGATCAATGTGACAGTCTCATAAACTCAGACTAATTAAAAAACATTATTATTACTAAGTGAGCTAGTTATACACCATGGTGGCAGGGAACATTAGGAGGAGAATGTTGTAGCATCATTATATTAACACTAATATGTACCTGGACATTAGTCGCGGGACATCTCCAGAAAAGTCCATATAGTTCTTTTATAAAAATGGTTATATCTCTCACAGGCTCCGCCCTCTACTGGACTCTATGGGTACTACCTTATCATGCAAGCATTCACCTACTGAGACTTCTATAGACGTAGCTGGCCCCAGGGCGGGCCTACCTGAATGCGCGCGCATCTCACCGTATAAAAGGAGGCCTCGCCTCCTGACCGTCATCCCTTTCTCTTCAGCGAGCGGGAGTGAACACTGAGCAAAGACGTGAATAGAGAAAGAGAAGAAAAGCATGGACTCACCACTCCCTGCCCGACATGCCCTGGCCTGATCGCTGGCGGCGGAGCGTGTGGGCTTACCACTCCCCCCACCGCTGCCACCGAGGCCATTAAACCGCCTTCGACAGGGGTTTTACGGCCCGGTGCATCCGGCACAGCCGGCCTTCGTCTCGCCCTCAGTGCCTGATATCTGGCAGTGTGTGGAGGCGACGTGGCGGCAGCCATTGAGGACGAAGCCCCCGATAGCAGCCATGGCAGGTATCATCAGGGTGCAGGGCCGCTCGGACACGGCGTGTCCCGGTGTGCCCCCCCTCGACGAGAGTCTGGCGGCCCATCTGCTTCCGCAGGCAGCTGGTTGGGCGGAGGGAAAGAAACCTCTGACCCTGCTGCCGCAGGACCGAGACACCTTAGAATATTTGGATAAAATGTTCAGGCTCGGGGCACAGATGGCGGCTGCGGCGAATAATCTCGGTGTGTTGGGTGTCTCCCTGTTTACCCCTCAGACGGACACCCCGCCCTCCCGCCTCAGGACGGGAGCGATTATCCGGACCGCTGCGTTGGTCAGATGAATAATCTGATCCATGGAGTGGCCGCCTCAGCGGGGCGGATGATGTCCTTGGCCACAGTGGCGTCGTGTCACGTGTGGCTAGGACTCACCGCCCTATCCAAGAAGGACCGAGAGGATCTCCTTGGAGCCCCCGTGTCCACGGAAGGGCTCTTCGGATCGATATCCTCAGTCACCCAGTGCTTCAGCCGCCTAGAGGAGGAGAGGGTGCAGCTTAGCCGCATGCTACCGCTGGCTCTTCCTCAGGCGCCGCAGCGCACTCCTCCACGGGCTTCCCTGCAGGCGAGGGAGCGCAGCGCGACGGTGAGACGAAGGGAGAGGCGCCGGCACGGAGCTCCCGTGCCTGCGGCGCCCTCCACCTCTTCGGCCCACCCCGTGGAACCGGCGTACCGGCACTCACAGGGGCGGGCTGCCCGACCTCGGCAGGCTCCGCAGCAGCAGAGAACGGCCGGGTGGGGTGCTCCGTCTTCGCGGAGCTGACTGGCGGGGGGAGGAAGCGTCTCGACGGGGGGAGAAAATCTCTCCACCCGGGACGCCAGGGCGAATCCTGCCTCTTCCCTGTATAATGCACAGATCCCTACGTTATCCAATAAACATGAGGGTGATCTGTATCCAAGTCTGAGTGTCATTTTTTTCCACAATTCTACACTCACACACAATGTTGACCGTACAAATTCCCCACTCGCTGCCCCAGCTGTAGCTCCTGTAAAGGAGGTAGCTAGTGGGCATGCGCAGATGAGAGTGATAAACTGCAGGAAGTGCTATCAGAGCGCTATGCGGGCACAGGGGCATTATGGCCGGCGTATTACTGTCACACACTGAACACACTACGCCTAGAGTAAAGACTCAGATTAATGCACTTTACCGTAGTGGTAAAGGGGACATTATGGTGGAGCTCACACAAGAGCGCGCAGCGGTGCGTTCAGGGACCTCAGTAAGAAATCGGCCCTTTCTGTGTCGACCCTCCATGAGGAGAACTTCCCTTCACGGGGAGTTTTGCGGCGGAACGGGTCACCAGGGAGTAGTGGTGGTCTAATGGATAGTGAGGTGGGCTGAAGATCGGAAGGTTGTGAGTTCAAATCCCGCCTGGAACACCACCACTAGTGTGCCCTTGAGTAAGGCACTTAGCCCTTAGTTACTCCAGGGAGAATGTCCCTGTAATTGGTCATTGTAAGTCGCTTTGGATAAAAGCGTCAGCGAAATGAAATGTAATGTAATGTAATGTAATGTATCACAGCTTCATAGCTGGAGCCCCACAGCTGAGGGCTTGTCCCCTAACACAATGTTATGGCGAATGGAAACTCAGCTGTGTGTTAACAAAGTGGATGGACAGGACGCTGAAACGGGGCTATTCACTCCAGTTTCGCAGCATCCCACCTCCATTCAAAGGCATGCGAGAGGTAAAACTATCATCCCAGGAGGAGATGGGTTTCCTCTCAGCAGAGATTCAGGCGGTGTCTGTTGTGCACCCTCAGCACAGAGAAAAAGGGTCTTTATTCCATGTATTTCCTGGTTCTCAAAAAGACAGGGGAATTCAGACCCATTCTAGATCTCCGGGGCCTGAATCCGCACATTGCCTGCAGAAAATTCCGCATGTTAACTATAAAACAGTTAATGGGGTTAGTGCAACCTAGACGACCTCATAGTCATGGCCAGGTGCAGGGAACAGGCAATGCTTTCCACAGCGCAATTGATCCTACACCTAACCAAGTTGGGCTTTGATCAATTGGAAAAAGAGCACCCCCATACCTCACCAACAGGCGTTGTATTTGGGAGTGGTGCTCGATGCAGGCGCGCTGCGTGCCACCCTGTCAGAGAGCAGACGTGCGTCCCTTCTCAGGGCGGTGCACAGGCTGCGACAGGGGGCAACAGTGACAGCTTTAACTGTCATGCAGACTCTGGGTCTCATGGCGGCTGCTCACGTTGTGGTCCCGCTCGGGTTACTGCGCCGCCTGCAGAGGTGGTTCTCCAGCCTGCGTTTAGATCCCAAGAGGCACAAACGACGTCTGGTGACCATCCCCCCCTCAGTGGAGGGCAACCTCCGGTTCTGGGGGTCCCCGGATCACCTCCGGAGGGGGTCTCCACTGGGACGGGTGTCCTCCTACATCACAGTGTTCACGGACGCGTCCAGAACAGGATGGGGAGGGACCTGCCTGAAGAGAGCTATAGGTGGGTGCTGGTCTCTAATGGCGCATTCCCACCACACGGTCGGCCTCGGCCTCGCTCGGTACTGCTAGGCCGCGTTGGGCCTTGTTAGGGCCGGCTCACTTCATGCTGCGCTTCCATTACAGTTTAGGAACTGGGGTAGTATCTATAGTAACGCAGTGTAGGCGGAGCCGTGACGTCATCTTCAATGAGAACCCCAGAAAAACAACACAGCCGTTAGCTGTTAGCACTCAGAGCTCACAGCTCCTCCATATATGTTCAGAAACTAGACAAAAGTTAAACAAGTACAAACCACAGACTGTTTGTGTCATGGCGAATACAGTCGCTGGTTTATTTATGTCTGTATAGGCCGTTAGAGCATATATTGAGTTAGCTTAGCCAATCTCCATTTAGAAAACACGCATTTTAAAAGGTTTTTCGCCTGCCGTCTGTCTGCAGACTTGTCAAAGCATTAATTCATGGTTTTTACTAACCGGTATCAGTATGTTGTTACTTCGGCATCATTTTGAAACGTGTATTACAATTAAATCACGGTCAAATATGTTCATCTTGTTGTAGTTGTAGCCCCCTTGCCAGCGATTCTCTCTCTAGTTTAGCATACTCAGCCCTGTTTGTTGGCCCCGATAGAACCACGATTTTGTCGGGCCAGAAAAGAGGTGAAAAAGTACCCCCGGGCCGGAACTAGGCCTAGTGGAAGCGCAACCAAAAACGGGCCCGGCACGACACGGAACGCTTAAACCACGCTCCGCGCCATGGTGGAAATGCCCCATAACAGAAACACGACACAGCAACCTCCTAGAGCTACGGGTAGTAGTGTTGGTCCTCCAGCATTTCATGCCCCTAATTCAAGGGAGACATGTAATGGTCATGAGCGACAACAGCACCATAGTGGCATACATCAACAGGCAAGGCGGAGTCCGCTCCGCCGCCTTGTTGACCACAGCGGAGAAACTGTGGTTATGGGCTTCAGAGGTGGTGTTATCTCTGAGAGCCTTCCACATTCTGGGTCTGGAGAACAGAGGGGCCGACCTCATGTCGAGGGGCGGCCCCCTGCCAGGCGAGTGGGCGCTTCACCCGGAGGTGGTGAAGCAGGTCTGGGCCCAGTTAGGGAGAGCAGAGGTGGATCTGTTTGCCAGCCGGCACAACAGCCACTGTGCCCTGTGGTTCTCCATGGCTCTGCTCGACGACCCGCCCTTGGGGGTGGACGCGTTTGCACACGAGCCATGGCCAAGGAAGCTGCTATACGGCTTTCCACCGCTGCGTCTCATTCTCTCTCTCCTGGGGAGAGTGAGGCGAGAACGTCTGGCAGTCATCCTAGTGGCTCCGGATCGCGTCGGGGCACCGTGGTACTCAGAGATGACACAGATGAAGGTGGGCCAGCCCTGGGCGATCCCCCAGTTCTGGGGGGCGATGTCTCAAGAGGCAGGTGCAATCGGGGCGTTACCCACGCTCGGCCAACCTCTCCAGGCTTGGCTCCTGAGAGGGACAGGCTGAGACAGGGTGGATTGTCTGACAGTGTTATTCAGTCTATCCAGGCAGCTAGAGCGGGATCCACCACAGCCTGTTACAGGCCAAAGTGGCTGAGATTCCTGCGATGGTGTGAGGAGCGGGGAATAGAGCCCCTATCTTTTGAGTTGGGCTCTATTTGATCCTACTTACAGTTATTGGTGGACAGAGGGCTTGCTCATTCTACAGTGAAAGTGTATGCAGCAGCCATCTCGTCCTGCCATGAGGGATTCGACGGCAGGTCAGCCTTTTCTCAGCTGTTGCGGTTTTTACAGGGGGTCAGGAGGCTGCGCCCGGTAGTGCACGTCTCCGCCCCGCAGTGGGACCTGCCGCTGGTGCTCGAGGCTCTGGTCACAGAACCATTTGAGCCTCTGGAGCTCTCCTCCCTGAAAGCACTGTCGTGGAAGACAGCGTTGCTACTTGCCTTAACGTCAGCCAAGAGAGTGTCCGAGTTAACCGCTCTGTCGGTGCACCCGTGTTGCTTGTTGATCCGGGGTGACCAGAGTGGGGCGACACTCAGACCGAACCCCTCCTTTGTGCCCAAGAGCCTAAGGAGTGCGTTCAGGTCGAGGGCTATTCAGTTGGGGGGCTTTAGTCTTCCACCTCATAGTGGGGCCAGGGAAGCTAAACTGCCCCTCCTCTGCCCCTCTGTCCTCTGTCCAAATAACATGCTAGTGCACGCACTAGCATGTTATTTGGAGCGCACGGCTGCCCTTAGACGCACTGAACAGCTGTTCGTGTGCTTCGGGGGCGGGGTGACCGGGAAAGCCCTGTCCAAGAAACGCCTGGCAGGCTGGCTCTGCGAGTGCATTGCACATGCCTACGGACAGGCAGGGAGAGCCTGCCACGCAGGGGTCTGTGCACACTCCACACGGGCTGTGGTTGGGGCAACACAGGACTGGTGAGGAGGGGGGGGGGGGGGGGGGGGGGGGGCTGTGGGTCAGTGGGGACCGATGGTCGGACGGGGGGGAGCCCTCAGCACTGTTTTCCGAGCACACTTTTTGCGAGGTAAGCGCGTCAGGGTGTGCTCTATCGGCCGCAGCCCGGACTTCTCCACAGTTACAACCGAGGGAGAGGTGAGTGAGGCGCAGCGGCTGCTAAAGCCGGTCAGGGACAGTGAGGTGGAACGGTGTTGTTGGACAACAGTGCGTGTATACATCGGGGCTCCGCCCACTGTACCCATAGAGTCCAGTAGAGGGCGGAGCCTGTGAGAGATATAACGAGGGGTTACGTATGGTAAACCTTGTTATATAAACACAGGCAGAGCCCTCTACTCGGGGCACTGTCTGTCCTATACCGCTCGCTGAAGAGAGGTGTAGGATGACGGTCAGGAGGCGGGGCCGCCTTTTATACGGAAGTGAGATGCGCACGCATTCAGGTAGGCCCGCCCCGGGGCCGGCTACGTCTATAGAAATCTCAGTAGGTGAATGCTTGCATGATAAGGTAGTACCCATAGAGTCCAGTAGAGGGCTCCGCCTGTGTTTATATAACAAGGGTTACCATACGTAACCCCTCGTTATGTCTTGTAGAAGAACTGTTGAAGAACCTGCGATCTAAGTTTTTCATACATTACATTAATTACACAGTAGTTGTGTATATGTTATGACAATAAACCTTTGAATCTTGAATCTTGAAAAATGGAATTACTAAAAAAGAGGTGGATCTATATGCTATGGATTACAATGGAAATAAGATTAAATGTGTTGTAGCCCCATGCTCTCTGATATTTTCTTACATGTTTGAAATCCTCTGTGGATTAAGAAGTGGAGTCCCATGATATCTAAAATCAAAGATGCACAAAATCAAATCCACCCTTCGTTGTTGAGTAAAAATAACACCATCATCCCTCCACTTCCTGTCTAACACCAGTGGATGTCAGCATAGAGTCTTCTAAACCTGGCACACACACACACACACACACACACACACACACACACACACACACACACACACACACACACACACACACACACACACACAGCTGGCAGGTTGATCCTCCTTTACATTTCTGCCTTCCAGTGTTAGGAGAAGTACTCAGATCCTATACTTAAAGGGGACCTATCATGCAAAATGCACTTTTATATGTCTTTTATACATGAATATGTGTCCCCGGTGTTGCAGGGAACTCACCAAGTGTCAGAAAACACAACCCTCTCTATTTTCCTCCATAACCAAATCTCTAAAAAAGGGTCTGCAACGGATCTGATAAAAACTGATCCAGATTTGAACACTGTCCTGACGTCAGGACAGTGGCGCTACGGCTATTGGGCCAACTCCACCAATCAGGAGGAGACAGCCACGGCCATTGCCGTTCGAAAGCACTGGAGACGATGTAGTACATATGCCAGGCCAGTAGATGGTGCTGTTCTCACTGAATCTGCCCTTGCAAAAACAGAGCTAAAAAAGTGCAAATTGAGCAAAATGAGGCATGGCTAAAATGCATGATCTGTTTGGTATTTTGAAAAAAAAAAAGTATAAATATGCCTTATATAGGTATGGTCCTACACTATATTATTCAAATATAGCATGATAGGTCCACTTTAAGTAAAAGTACAAATGCTATGGTCTTAAAAAACTACACTTCAAGTAAAAGTCCTGATTTCAAAATGTAACTTAAATAAGAAATCTCATACTCATTCTCACAAGGGCCTATTTCAGAATAATATAAAGTACAGAGGAATTATCAGCTTTAGTGTACTTCATGTAATAACAGCAAGTACTCATCATGCAGAATGAATATTATTTTTGTGTCATTATTTAATCCTGTTTTTATACTTGTAGGTGCATTTCAGTATTGTATTTGTTAAAATGGTCAGAATGTAGATACTAGAAATACTGTGCAGCCTAACCCTTAGTATGACAGTACTGCATTACACCATATCAGCTTATCGAGTGTTTATATATGAACAACTGTTCACAGTAACTGTGTTAAAATAAATGTAGTGGAAAAAAGTTCAATATTTGCCTCTGAGATGTAACGGAGTAGAAATATGTGGAAATACTCAAGTAAAGTACCAATATGACAAAAAAGTTAATGTATTTAGTTCCTTTCCACCACAGCTGCCTTGCCTTTACCAACATATCAGTTGAATTAAGTCAAACACAGGGACATCATTGTCTCTGTCCATATCCTTTTGTCTTTATTTTCCCAAACCTTTAACGCTCCTCTCTATAGATCAGCTGTATTCCGTCTCTGACTGAACCCTCTTCTGTCCTCTGTCCACCAGCAGCACGATGTCTGTCAATGACAAAGACCCCATGCCTGCAGTGGCGTCCCTCTCCCCGGGACAACTGCAGTCCCTCCTCAAGATGGAGCCCAAGACCCTGGGGGTGAGTCCTGTACACCAGAACACACAACATGCATCCAGGCTGGGAGTAACAGATTACTTGTAAAGGGATTACTTGGTCAGGATACAGAACAAGTAACTGTATTCCCTTACAGTTATATGGAAAAATATGAAATCAGATTACTGTTACATTTCTAAAAATAGTTGATAACTATCAGGATTACAGTGTTAGCAAAACCTAAAAAGATCATAGTGTTTGTTGTAAAGGATCAGATGTTCTCTCTGCTCTTAGAGCTGTACTGTTCTGTAGGATAATACTTCAAGTGGGAATACTTCTACTGCCTGAATCTGCTTTATGGTTTTCACTTTCTTTGCTTCATTTCTTCTGTTTTTAATTCAGCAGGTGAACCTATATGTTCATAAAATAGTGTGTGTGAGCTTAACTGTGTGTATTAAACTAAGACGGAGCATTTTCTGTCAGCTCAGGTTTTATTTCTGCTTTTGTAAACTGTAGGATGGCTCATGTGTTTCATTGTTGGTGTATAGGCTGCTGTCTGAATCTGCTGAGTGAAAGGAAGGTCTTCCTATCAATAAGATCATTTCTGATCCTAAATATCATGGTTTCTTCTTTCCTAAGGTCACATTGTTCTGTTGTCTTACATAATACACTTAAGTTAAAAAAAAACGTATTGATATTTACTTTTTTTATTTTATTGTATCCATTGCATTTTATATTGAGGTAACAGAAAGTAATCAGGTTACATCCCTTTATATTTTGTTTTCAGATTAGTTTACTGATTAACAATTGTGTACAGGTACCTAGTAATGGTAACAGGATACTTTTTGAATGTAACCCAATCCTGCATGCATCCTGTACAAAGTACCAGCAGACTGAAATGATAACCTCACACAGGGAAATGAGAGATGGCTTGGTCTTGGATTCTGACTTAAAAGTCTACTCCAGTGCAACTTCCTCCATAGAAGGCTCTGCATTTCAGATGTTTTGCCATAATCTGAATGCACCTGTTGGACTCAAAGTGCTGATCACCCCCCCTGTAGGCGATCCAGATCGTTATCGGGGTTCTGATCCTCTGTCTGAGTGCCTCTGTGCTCCAAGTCCACGAGGTGCACTTCACAGGAGACGTGGCCCTCTTCCTGGTGGTTGTCATACAGGTGAGTGAGCGGTACATCATGCTGCCATGCTTTCTCGTCTAGATTTAATTTAGGAACATGAACATGTCATTAATATGCACGCTGCAGCCCCCCCTCCCTCTGGAACTCCCTACCCAGTCACATTCGAAAGGCCAACACTCTTGAATCCTTCTCAAGAGGATGTTGCCTCCCCCCCCCCTTTTACTCCGTACTTGGATTAGGACTACTGTTTATGTTTTATTGGTTTTCTTTGTATTGTTTCGGTTCTGATTTGATTTAAAGCGTCTTTGAGCATTAGGAAAAGCGCTATAAAAATCCCATGTATTATTATTAAACTCATGTTTCTTCTAAATGCCGTGCACTGTGACCCCCCAGGTGACCCTGTCTGGTTCAGTGCTGGTCCACAGTGGGAGGAGACCCACTCTGTTCTGGGTGAGTGACAACACGACACACTGTACAACACACAACCCTGTGTGTGTGTGTGTGTGTGTGTGTGTGTGTGTGTGTGTGTGTGTGTGTGTGTGTGTGTGTGTGTGTGTGTGTGTGTGTGTGTGTGTGTGTGTGTGTGTGTGTTTGTGTGTGTGTGTGTGTGTGTGTGTGTGTGTGTGTGTGTGTGTGTGTGTGTGTGTGTGTGTGTGTGTGTGTGTGTGTGTGTGTGTGTGTGTGTGTGTGTGTGTGTGTGTGTGTGTGTGTGTGGTGTGTGTGTGTGTGTGTGTGTGTGTGTGTGTGTGTGTGTGTGTGTGTGTGTGTGTGTGTGTGTGTGTGTGTGTGTGTGTGTGTGTGTTTTCTGAATGAAGATCGGATTGATCAGGCTAAGCTAACGCAGTATATGCTCCGTCCGTCCACACTCACAACAACGGCCTACAGACATAAATATAGCAGCGACTGCATTCTCCATGACACAGACAGTCTGTGGTTTGTACTTGTTTAACTTTTGTCTAGTTTCTGAACAGATATGAGGAGCTGTGTCCTCTGAGTGCTAACAGCTGATGTTGTGGTTCAACGTCAGTGAACCACAGGCTGAGATCCTCACCGCTGATTGGCTACCGCGAGATTGCGTCACGCGAATTTCACGCTCGAGTTGAAAAAATTGAACTCGAGCGTTTGTCGCGGCCCCCTTCAATCGCCTCAATCGCGTAGTGGAATTCGCATCAACCGCTTCATGTGCGCGAGCGAATTTGCGTCTGTCCGCGTCTCTACATTGACTTTACATGTAATCGCGCCGCCCCCAAACATCGCATCGCGTCCGGTGGGAACGCAGCATTAGACATTTTGTTCAGCAGGATAATCTCCACATATTAGCACCACTTTATGATTATTGAAAGGTAAACGTAATCGTCAATAGTAAAAAGCTAATGTTAGGCTTTCAAAGAGCTAGTCACGGTCACATGGCTGCACATCACAACCGCTAAGCTAAAGGCGGCTAATGTTTTGGATGATGATGTTTAGTGGTCCCCTTTAGCCACTTGTTGGCAACTACTGTTTTTAAGACAAACAGAAGCTTCAGACATTCACCAGCAGGGTATTTACTGATGTATTTTATGTTTAGTACAAAACATGCAAATCTCTTCAGCTTGTTAACTACAGACCTTATTTGAGGCATTTCAAAAACACTTTGGAAGAACATTTACACGATATGTGGGAACTGCTAAAATGTTAACCCATTTCCGTACACATTCCTGTATAACTCTACAATCTGTTATCTTTTGAACATAGAACATTTCATAATTGAAACATTGTTTTAAACAATGCGTTACTGTATTATGTGTTTGTCTGTGAATATGATTTTCATAGTGGTGTAAGATGAAAGATGTTCAAATGGAAAACCAGCCCTGTTCCCTTATCTGTTTCATTCATTTTCTCCAAAGGTTTGCCTTTTCTAGGATCATTGTCTTTTATTGCAAAGTAAATGAAATACAGCGTTCTCATTATTACTGGCCAATGGAGGCTGTAGGAGCCAAAACGTTGATTTATTATTTCTATTATTTAATCATTTAATGTATGTAATGGAGTATAATTGTTTGGTGTCATTTGATTGGGATCCGCAGCCACGGTTGGGCGGAGCGGCTGATTGGTGCTGCGATTGCCTCAGCTGGTTAAAAGAGTCCTGCTGATTACACTCTGGGTGCTATTTTGGTTGTGAAGCCACACGGTTTTTTGACCGCTGCATTGCACTGCAGAGAAGATATGATTTGTTTATTTAAGTGAAGAAAACTGTTTCAATATCGTCTGGTAAGATACCTTCATTTGTGTTTGAAGAACAAAACGAACATGGAAATAAATGTACCAAAAACGAACAATATATCTCTGAGTGATGTGTGAGCGCGTCGACCAGGCGCTAAAACCAAAGAGCAGAGCTTAAAGGTGGAAAGATGGCTCTTATAGAGGCCAAATGTGAAGCCTGCTGCAGAGTGCTGCCTGTAGACAGATGCAGCATCGGAGAGCACTGTGTTTTGTGACATTATTGAACATGACACTTTCTGATCTGCAGGTGAAGGTTGTGCTAGTGCTGCACCTCATCAGTGCTGCGTTCTCCACCGCCGCCCTGGGTCTGATGTCCAAACACCTGCCGTACCGCCAGGACTCGTACCACTGTGAGCACTGCCACCGGCTGGAGCTGCACGCCGTGGTAATGTCCGCCAAACCTGCAACCTGAGCACTTACATGTAGATTGAAGGTGTTAATGATGATCAAACAATCTGTGCTAAGAGAATATAGCTACTAATGTAACAACAAAGTTATGTTACAGCCTCAGGACTTAAATCCACATGACTGAACTACATCTCCAACATTAACTTGGATCATTGATACAAACTAGCCTCAGTGTGTCTGTCTTTGGGAGATGTGAGTCTTGCCTGGTGCAAGACTGAAACAATGTCTGCAGGACAGAAACAAAAGAATCCCTCTCAGATTATACTCTCATACTTTGTTTTGATGAAACTCAGAAGGTGTTTCCATAGTTACAACAGTGACTTATAGGCAACACCTGTGCAGTCACACTGGACAATGTTAATTATTGGTCAGGGACACAAAACACCGGTGATCAAAATGCCAAACCCTTATTGCCAGCTGTTTGTCACGGATTAAGGTTGGACCCAAACGCAGTTAGAGAGGGGGGCAGGTTTACGTAACCACAATCAAGCTTTAATTAAGAAAAAGCTGATTTCACACAAAAAACAAGGGGAACCATGCAAAAATACCAAATCAAAAAACTGAACAAGGATAGATTGGCTGTGGGAAACAAGTGGCAGAGAAACGAGAAGGAACACTTGGAAACCGGCAGGGACGAAATACACCACACATGTAGGACCGACAGGACCAGAGAAGACGAACCAAGGGGAGTAGGGACTATACACACACACACAAGATTACACAATACATAACATTTGTGTAGACAAAACACAGCTGGAGAAGGGAGGCAGAAACACAGGACAGCAGGTGAACACAATCAGACACACAGGCAGGAAAACTAGAAGACAGGAAGTCAAACCAGAGAAGACACAAAGAGGAAATACATTAAATGTTAAAATGTTAAGTTAAAGTTTCAAAATATGTGTTATTTGAAAAAAAAGAACTGTAAGGAGGAGAGCTAACCTACATTATAGGTGTGTAGGTAGATGTGAACATGTTTCAAACTAACCGTAATGAATCAAGTCTTGATGGAAATTGTCATGCCGTAGAGCAGGCTACAGAGCCTCACTGACCCTTAGGATCACATGGTTTCATAGTTGACATTACATGTTGTGAAAAAGCAGACTCCATGTTTCTCTGTCTTTACGTCCACTGCAGCAACATTGTTTCAGGAAATGCACCGGGCTGATCGAGCAAAAGTGTAAAGTAAGTGACTGACTACTGTTATAACTCGTACTTAGTAGAGTGCATGGAGAAGACAGAAATGAAACACTTGTGTTGAAGTCAGTGTCACGGTCAGAGACACTCAGCTCCCCCTGACCCCCCCCCCCCCCCCCCCCCCCCCCCTCTGCTCTGGGGCTTCTCTCTGCAGCTGCTGATCGACGGGATCCTGGTGACCCTGGTGATCTTCCTGGTGCTGGAGCTGCTGATCTGCATCACTGCCATGCTCTTCGGGCTCAGTGTGCTGGCTGCGGGGGGGGCACAGGTATGCTCCTATTGATACTGCAGCATGTTGAGTTGACTCAGATGGAAGTACCCAGGGGTTAAATTGGGCCAGGGCTGTCCGGGGCTCAGCCCCGGCACATAGGATGATGCTCTGACGTCATCACCCTCGCACATTTGTCATATGTTTACAAAAAACGATATGTTAAAACTTTTCTCGTTCTTAATAGATATATTTAAGGTCGATATGTGTTGACTTTATTTTAAAATAGCAGATCTCTGTGACCGGATATAGTTTTTCGGCTTAGTGAACGTGTGTCTCTGCTCCGATATGATACAGATAATGGAGCAGTTACTTAGGGCCTCACACAGTATAGCCCCCCCCCCCCACATATCAAATCCCAATTGAACCCCTGGAAGTACCATTAAGAAACGTAGATACATGCTTAACTAGAATAAGTAATATGGGGGAGTAGTTGTGTCAGGGTTGAGAGGGTGACTTTAAAAACCTGATGACTTTCTCTTACTGTAGATTACCTCAATATCAAATGCAATGCAAATAAATAAAAGAGGAAAGAAATATCAATAAGATGTGGATTATGTAATGTGTCCTTAAAAAAGAAGAAACCAAGATATTTAGGATCAGAAATGATTTGATTGATAGGAAAAGTTACTTTTCATGAAGCATATTCAGGCAGCAGCCTATACACCAACACTGAAACACATGAGCACATACTACAGTTTAAAAAAGAAGAAGAAACCAAGATATTTAATATTAAAAACGTGTCCTCTGGTAAGAGCAGCAGAGGTCACGACCTTATTACTGAGTACTTATTCTGATATATTGGGTACATAGTTAAAACGTGTGTGTGTGTGTGTGTGTGTGTGTGTGTGTGTGTGTGTGTGTGTGTGTGTGTGTGTGTGTGTGTGTGTGTGTGTGTGTGTGTGTGGTGTGTGTGTGTGTGTGTGTGTGTGTGTGTGTGTGTGTGTGTGTGTGTGTGTGTGTGTGTGTGTGTGTGTGTGTGTGTGTGTGTGTGTGTGTGTGTGTGTGTGTGTGCAGGCTCCCAGACAGAAGCCTGTTTACCCACAGACCCGCCCCCCCCCCTGTTCCAGCTGTGCAGGTGTTTCCAGCTGTGGACGAGACTTCTCAGGTAGCACACAGTCTTTGATACTGACATATTATTTGTTCAATAACCAATATGTTTATTGACTTGTGTTTTGTAAGCTAGAAATGTTAAATAGGTACAATACAGTTTTCTTTTAATTCTGAGAAAAAATACTTTAAAATGCTGACTTTAATCTCAGGATTCAGAAAATTCATTTTTGGTCAGATCTCAAAAGTTGTGGCTTTAATCCTCCTCCATAAAAACGTATTTTTGCACTTGTACTGTATCTTATATATGGATTCATTTTCTAGACATGTGTAACTTCACAGGAGTCAGACTATGTTTGCGCATCACCCCATTATACTGTAATAGTTTTATCAAGACTATATTTGTAAGATATTTTTAAATCTCTCCTAGAATTTAGCAGACAGTCCATCATGGCGTGACATACATTTTATCCTTTGCACTGGACATTTCCTTTACGGTTAGTTTATGGTCTTAGATTCTTGTGCAATTCATCGTCAAGCTATCTGAGGACCTGTGTCAACATGGTGCTTTTATTGGTGGTACTTGTATTTGATTAATAAGGCAAGTCCCTGATTAGTGTAAATGTTTTGGCAGAGTACATCACCAAATGATGAATACGTTTGGTTTCTGGAAGTGTTTGCATGACCCTGATGGTGGAGAAATAAGAGTCCTGTATAGTCCCTTCAATCTGTGTTTAACAAGTTGTTCAGTAGTAAGCACCACAACACAATGTTGGTTCAAAGGTTTTATTTACAGGAGGTATTGAATGTGAGGGGAGTGATAGAGAAGGATGAGGGATGTCTTCTGTCAGTCAGGCAGAGGGACACTCAGGATGGGGGGTCTCTGGCATGTTTCTGCCTGATCAATTCAAGCCCCTCAAACGTTACCCAGAATGAGACAAACATATGTGCCAGATTAAATAGAAAGAGATAAAGGGAGGCCGAAAGAGGGGATGAATGGTCCAGGGGGTGTGGGGGGGAGTGATGAAGACAAACAAGGCCAGATGTGTTTACTGGAATAACTTAGCAGGTGATGAGAGGTGAGCTTGAGGAGGGGTCCTGCTCCCAAACCTCAGTTAACTTATTAACTTCATGTTCCTGTTTGATCTGCTTTCTGTGTCGACAGGTGGCTGTCATTGTAACTGAGGCCGATTCAGATCAGGTGGAGGAGATCTCCACCCCCCCCACTGAACCCCAGGTGGAGCCCATCGAAGATGTGACCTCAGAGCCCTGAACTCAACACACACACACACACACACACACACACACACACACACACACACACACACACACACACACACACACACACACACACACACACACACACACACACACACACACACACACACACACACACACACACACACACACACACACACACACACACACACACACACACACACACACACCTCCCTCCCTCCCTGTGGTGTCATGTCAGTCAGAGTGTAAATATGGATGTCAGCCTCTTGGCGACCGGAACAATAAGAACTGTTTACATTCTGATTAGGATTGATGACTCATGAATCAAAGTGAGAGCAAATGCTGATGACAGCAGTGCACGGTAATAAACATCAGAAGAATTGGTCAAAATTAAATGTGGGGGTCCCAACACGGTGTCCAAGGTTTCCATCCTGCCCTTTCACTCCTGCCATGACATGAATACACACTCAGTATTAGCACTGCTACACCTACAAACTGAACAAACTGAAACGTTGACTTTAACTAAATGTATTATGTCAACATATTTCACATTAATGTATTAGGTTAGATGAAAGCATTCATATTAAGTTGAACCTAATCTTTTTGATTCAAATGGAATGTTATGGGTTTCAACTAACCTAATACAGTTATGTGAATATCTGTTGACGTAATTTATTTAATTAAAGTCAACGTTTCAGTGTGTTCAGTGCACTACAGTGTGTTGTGGTTCTGATGTTGATCAGTGTTACTAGTCATTTATTCTTCAAATAATATCGTCACTAAAATAAGTAGAGAGTAGAACAAATCTAGAGACATAAAACCAGAGAAGGATTCTGAGCTAGCGAGGGGGGAGAGGAAATGTTCACTCCACTGATACTCTGTGCACACTGCGTGTTAGTTACAGTGAAGGCCGATTCAATATGTAAGCTTGCACTTTGTTTTGCCTTTCAAATATCTCAAACTGCTCTTGCCATAATTGACTGTTGAAATAAAATGTTGTTGTCTAACCTTTAACCTTTTTAGTGTGTTCATGCACATTCAAACTGGCCTTGATGCTATTACAGAATTCATTGATACAAGAGTATGACGACAGCAACTCTACTCTCTATTGTTCATTCATTGTTTGTTCTTTTATTTTTAGACCTGTTATCTTGAAAGTTGGGAGAATGAAATCAGTCACCAGAGGGCGAAAGTGTTCAGACGCATGAATGATTTTCCAAAAATCTATCTATACTGTATCTTCTTCTTCTTCTTCTTCTTCTTCTGGGCTCTGACATTACTCTGGAGGAACTGACCTCTGCGGTGACACAGATGGCCTCCGGCAAGGCTCCGGGCATAGACGGTTTACCTGCAGACTTTTTTAAACATTTCTGGAGTATTCTAGGACATGACTTGTTGGACGTGTTGATGGAGACTCTGCTGGCTTCCTGTAGGCGTGCAGTGATTTCACTGTTGCCTAAGAAAGGAGATTTAACCTTGCTGAAGAATTGGAGACCTGTGGCTCTCTTATGTACGGACTATAATATACTGTCAAAGGTTTTAGCTAACAGACTGAAGTGTTTTATTGACTTTCTTATTGGTACTGATCAGATATATTGCATCCCTGGCAGATCAATTGTGGACAATTTGTACTGTATAACATAAATGTTGGCATTATTTCTATTGACCAGGAGAAGGCGTTTGATCGTGTGGATCACACTTTTCTGGCTGCCACTTTGCAGGCTTTTGGTGTTGGGGAGCATTTTTTGTCCTGGGTGAAGTGTTTGTACAGTGATGCATGTTGTGTTGTGAAGGTGGGGGGAGGGCTGAGCAGACCTGTACCAGTTAAAAGGGGGATCAGGCAGGGCTGCCCTATCTCAGGCCTACCCTATCTCAGGCCTATTATACAGTATTGCTATCGAGCCCCTTTTGTGCAGACTTAGAAACCGGCTGAGGGGCCTGTGTCTGCCAGAGTCAGCTCAGGCCCCCCCGTGGTTGTATCAGCTTATGCTAACCCGTTATCCTGACTTTATTTTTATTTTTTTTTTTAGAAAGTTACCGGTGTGCCAAGGAGGAGGTGGAGCACACAGGAGACAACCATTTCATTGCAGACTGTTATGTTTATGTGGGGAAATTACAGTGCATATATTATTTGAGATATATTTCGAACTCAGACTTCATTTTATGGACATTTCGGCCAGGGATGTAGAGCTATTTGTTTAAGAACCGGATTGGCAAACAGGAGAGTCTGTAAACCAGTCTGCTTTGATCTATGAATTAATGTCCGTGACTCTCAGAGTACCTGCTGCCCGCAGCTGTTTTAAAGGGAAACAAACACTCAGAACACATACACAGCCAGTGGCGGACTGGCCATCGGGACGAATCCCGATGGGCCGGTACCGAAGTGGGCCGGTCGGGCCACTTCGGTACCGGCCCACTCCGATCGGGCCACTAGGTCCACCGTTTCCCCGCAGTGAGGCTCCCCCCCCCGTTGACAGTTCACTAGCCCCCCCCCCCGTTGACAGTTTACGTGGGCTGGGCTGGGTGAGATTCCCGAGCTGATTTTTAGTCCCTGTCCGCCCATCATGCGCCTTGGTGACCGGACATCTCCTTCATAAAACTAATAAAAGGGGGAGTGTTAGAAATTAAAATCAATGTTAAACAGCATAATTGAGTCTAAAACATATCGTCAGTTTAAAGCTGTTTTATTGTGGAAAAACCCGGAAGTTCTCAGGAAATCAATGCCAAGCTTTTATTCTGAAAATCCTTCATATCCGGTTAGCAGTTAGCATGTGGCTAATATTACGTTTTCTGAATGTAAAGTGAAAATGACATGGAGTGTTATACACCAAAACGTACGGACTTTAACATTACATCTATAGACGTTGAGATATTATTACTGCTGAATATTAAATGAAGGTACAGTTGATCATAGAGTGTTTACACATTATGTGAGTAGCTATGACGTCAGAGGGAGTTACCGTAAATGAGAACTGTGCCGTAGAGGTGTTGCTAGAACTTCTAAACTAAGTATTACAGCTGTTTATAAGGTATTAAATAGAAAGTCATCACAGAGATAAGGAGGATAAAAGGCTTAAGGAAGTAGGCAGAGAATACCAATGTCGAAATCATCTGTTCTCTCGCGATATCGAACCAGCAGATGAGAAGGGAGGTCCCACTATCTGCACAGCGGGGGAGAACGAGACGAGGATAAAAAGGGATGACAGAGGACAACTCACTCTCTTTTCTTCGCTGCAGCCACCTGAAGACATCACCGGCTTTGTCTCTTCCTTACCTATGCTTGTTCTTTAACCACGTTACTTAATTAAACTACCCATTTGAACCTTTTCAGAGACTCCATTAGTCTCATTATTTTAAGTTTCTTTCCTGGGAGCGAGAAGATCACGATTTATCAACAGGAGTAATCGGGCAGTCCGATGTGTGTAGAGCAGTGACGTGCGGTGAGGTTCATGGCTGGTGAGGCACTGACTCTTTCAGTCAGATTTACAAATATTATAGCCTATTTTGACCTTAATCGAAATATTCTGTTATTTTCAAAAGCTTTTTTAGTCTGATGCTATGATTAATTTTAAACAGACCGATCAACAAAAGGATACCCAAAATCTAAATATTGGATTGTTCTTTCTAAGTAAGATCCCATTTTAATTACAGTTGTGGTCTTACCTTGACTTGAAGATGAAGTCCATGCTATCCTTCTGGACAACAATCTCTATAGAGTGGCGAAGTCCCTCCCACTTACTTCCGGGGTATGGGACCTTATTCCGGAAAAGTTATGCATTGAAGTCAATGGGGAGAGAAAACTTATCTTTCGATCCCGTTTGAATTGTGCCATGAATTACACATATGATGTTTGTCAATCTTAAAAAATCATTTCCATGTCAAAAAAGTCACAGTTTGTCGTAAAACTGTTGAAATATAAGACTGTGAAAAATACGTAACTAGAAAGACTACAAATCCCAGAGTCGCGTAAGTGATGTCACAATTGTTTACCTCCACCATTCAGATACCTAAGATCAGCGCAATATAGATATAATCTATCTATATGGCGCTGGCTAAGATAAGATAACTTTAACAAGATGCCTGTGTGCTTAGTACCAGGTTGTTATTATACCAGCAATGGGTCTTGCTCGTTCTTTTGCTTCCCGTCTGATGAAACGACCAGGAGTGGCTTGATCAAGTTAGCTACCTACCTAGCTAGTAGCTAGCACGTTAGTTAGCATTACAGCCTTGTCATTTTTATTAGCCTTAACATGAAGTAACATTAAGTAACCCAAAATGTTAAACAGTAAGAGTAGTAGTCATATTTCGTGAACCCTTTGAATAGTACTGTCACCGGTGTGATCATTCTATAATACACCATTTAATTCCGGGGAGAAATGCTAACGCTAACGTTAGCATCGGCGATCTTTTCTACTTCATGCTATCTGCACAAATGGTTGACATTAAACATTAAAACGACCAGGCAGTTCAGAGAGAATCAAAGGAAGGCAGGCAGGCAGCTTTGCATGACATTCTTCAGGACGTGTTTCATTGTGGTGATAGTCAATCGTTTGTTGACAAGACAGTAGTAACGGCCATCTTGGTGACGTGTGTGGTTGACCAGAGATGTAGTTCATTGAGCCTTTCACACAAACAAATGTGTTACTTCACAGTTTTACGACACATTTTAATTTTTTTGACTTGCAAAATTATCTTTTAAATTGACAAACATCATATGTGTAATTCGTGGCACAATTCAAACGGGATCGAAAGATAATCTTTCTCTCTCCATTGACTTCAATGCATAACTTTTCCGAAATAAGGTCCCATGGGGCTCAACCGGAAGGGGAGGGACTTCGCCACTCTATTATGCTTTTGTAAAAGTCCTCCGTATCTTCCTGTAGTTTCAAAAGTTTTGTTTGTTGTTTGCGGTAGAATAACAGTAGCAACAAGAACCTGTGGGCTCACGTGCGCCCCCTTCAGTGCGGCAGAGGTTATGGCTGCCTCCCCATGTAATTGTTTCATTGCCGTTGTATGATAAGACCAGCGAGCCTAAATATGATATATACGTGAAATAAGTTATTTAGAGACTATGGA